AAACCAGGTCTAAACCAGGTCCAAACCAGGTCTAAACCAGGTCTAAACCAGGTCTAAACCAGGTCTAAACCAGGTCCAAACCAGGTCTAAACCAGGTCTAAACCATGTCTAAAACAGGACTAAACTAGGTCTAAAAAAGTAAACCGAATCAAGTAATCCAAAGTATTCAGATTACGTTACTCACTTTAAGTAATTTTATGGATTCCTTTACAAACTACATTCTGGGGTATGTAATCTGTAATCTGTAGGGGAATACATTTTAAAAGTAACCTTCCCAACACTGCACGTGGTTTTATACTTGTTCTGATACAGCTCAAGATCATTCTAAAGCTATGTAGGAAAGGTTCATACTTTCATAAGTTTTAATGCTTTTGACAACCCTACTGCTTGCTGCTCTGTACCACTTTCTGTACTTATTATCATTTTTTTAACCTCTCTTCACCTCTGACTGTGCCAGCAGTTAGTGCCCTTTATTGGTGATTATTATGCAATTAAAGGCTCAGTTACTTATGATTCTGAAGTATTTTGAATAAGAATATGTAAGGTCTGATTAGCAAGATGAGGTAACGTCTTGCATAAGGCAGTTCTCTGGGTCAGACACATGTGGCCACCTGGGACATAATAGACTGATATAATGTAAAATAAAGTCCACACCATACATATTAACTAATGTGTGCTGGGAATGTATTACGGTACAATCAGGGTGGAACTATGACTTAAAAGTATGGCTCAGAAACTCTGAAACTATGGTGCCAAGCAGTGTGAGTGGTAGGAAAATGCAAAACTGAAGCCAATACAGCAGTAGTCATTTAGTCGATAAATCAGTAGACTGTGTTTTTGTCCAGTATTTCTCAATCAGAGGTATGGGGTCCGCTGAGGCAATCCAAGCCCTCGCCACTCACCTTGGAAAGACTTCACATTAAAAAAAGACATGAAATTGAATAATATACATATATATGATGTGTATACAAACTGTTCTCTGAAGTACATTTTGCATCCATAAGATTCTGTCTAGTTTTGTCATAAATATAACTATTATATTTTCTTATTTTATTCTTATAAGTTAAACAGATACATGAGTTAAGTGTGTGAGAGTTTGCAGTTTTGGGAGTGACTGGGCAGTTTTTTCTGGGAATATCTGGTGCCACTGTGGAGGAGCTGTAGCAAAAACTGGTGTTGTGTCCTTAGGCAAGACACTTTGCCCACATTGCCTAGCATGAATGTGGTGTGTAAGTATTGGTATAGGAGGAGCTGATGACGCCTCACTTTTGTCAGTCTGGTTTAATGGTCCTCACTACCCCAACCTCTTCAAGTGGGAACTAGGTGGAACTATTACCAAGTTACCCAGAAAACCAACTGTTAATCCAAACTTAGTTCCATAGTGATCTTTTCGGTTTTTCAAAACATTTCAATAATATACTTAACACACTTCCATTGTACTCATCTTATTATTGTTTCAGTTATGAAGCTATTGTTCTTGCTCCTCCTTCTGCCTCTTCTGCCTTGTGCAAATGTAATCATCGGACATTAAGGCTTTCTCTGACTGGAATGATCTATTAGGGATTTGTGGGCGTTTTGACTTTAGAAGCCTCTGTGTATCACCATCCGTCATGTTCACACTGCAGACAGCCATTCAATTTCACTTTGATTAAGTTGTGACTGCAGTCGTATTTATTACAAAGCTGATCATATTTTTTCTGGAGCTGTCTGTTCTCTCTCATGCGTCAACGGTGGAGAATGGGCCTTTGTTTGTCTTCTGAAATAAATGAGTTTGGATCTGAGTGGGGAATGAGGTTCCAATATTGAGTTTAATTTGAAGTAATTTTGTTAACTAGTATGCTAGCAAACTTTTAGTCTATTCTCAGGATTTATTTTTTTGTTTTCAATTAGGGCTGTAGTCCTTTAGTTGTGTAGAGGATTAATCAGTCAGTGGTGTCTTAGACAGCCAAAATGAGCATTAGTTGATCATTCATGTTATTTAGATTATAAGGATTTGTATGGGATAACAGCAGAAAGGAGAAGTTAGTGAGTGAGTGGGTTATCTGGGTTATTTTTTTTTTCCCCATGCAGGTGTAGTCTTGAGTGCAGTTCGGGTCAGACACATAGTTATGAGTTTTGAGAGCCACTATTTTAGTTTTTTGATTCTGATGAAAGCAGAATAATCCTCATATGAGTCTTTCATTTGAGGTACTGAATTCCAGAATCCAGTTGGTTATACCTAAACCCATATTACCCATATTACACTCTATCTGATCCCTGTTATAACTTTGTTTCCTCATCACAAACATACCTGGAGTTGTTTTTTGTTTCATTCACATGTTTAACACACAAATCCTGCAGATTTAGGCTGAGTTCTTCTCTCGTACAGAAAAAACTTCCACCTTTTAATGTCATGTGCTAATACAGGAGGTGCTCCAACTGTGTTTTTAAACTCCACCTCCACCTTCACTAGAATCATTTGGATGATTTCAAACCTGGAATTGTCAATCTCTGCTTAACAAAACATAAAGTAGTTGTTAGCTTGAATACTACCCCATCATGACATCACAAGGTGGAACAGAGCAATTTGATCTTTAGAAATGTAAACAGACTAACAACAAAGGATATACTCAAACATGTCTGAATGACACAAAACACAACTCCAGGTATGTTTTTGATGAGGTAAACACAGCCTAACATGGTTTAAAGCTCTTACAGCTCACCACAGTCAATTTTGCGTAACATAGGACCTTTAAGCACATTTACTCAGATAAACTAATTAAACTCTTATTTTCGTTTTGCGAACACGCTATAATCTGCTCCTCCGCTCACAGCCCCAGCCCTGCTCTCCCTGCGCTCCCTTGTCTCCTCCGCAGAGCCAAGCGCATTGCCGTGCTTTAGACTGCTGCTTACCACCACTCAGCTCCTGTTCTGTGCCTTTCCTCCGCCTTAATGGGGCTTTGGTGTCAGGCGGCGTACAGTGCGGCGGATTACATTTAAAACTATTAGCCATGCCTGTAGAATATGATTAGCCCATATGCAAGGTAAGCACTTTGATGGGAGGTGGAAAGCTATAGTGCTGACAAATGATAGGTATAGCTAGGAGCTTGTACTTCTGATTTGTTGACTTACTTGTGTGTTCATAGTAAAATATTACCTTTTGAATTGCATGGCATTAAGAGGTAATATGCATGGCTTTATGCATATAGCACATTTCTATTCAAATTACTGTACACTGCATTTTTAATTTATGACTAAATCCCACTCTGAGAGCTTATATGTTATGTTGCAGATGGGGCTGCAACTAATAATTATTTTAGTAGCCAACTAGGGCTGCACGATATTTGGAAGATAATTACAATCAGATTTGTGACATATTTTTAAAATGCTGCTTTCTATTTGCACATTGTAAACAACATTAACATTTGAAAGAAGACTGAAAAATGAACTGACAAGAATCCTATCCATTTCAGAGCATGTTAGTAGAGGTAAACAAACATTTTTCAATATAAAGACATGATATTTTGTTAATTGCAGAGGATATTTTATTAAGTAGTTGCAGCTTTAGTGATTTGATAATTGCAACAACTGAAATTGAAAATTCAATTTGATTAATCTACAAGTCAAACTATTATTTCTATTGTAAACTGAGACTTTTAAAATGCATTATCAAACAAATAATAGTTGAACTATGGTGAATAAATCGTAATCTAGTCTTAAGGAAATAAATACTGTTTTCAGTCTCTGCTGTTATCGTTTGATATTGGGTATCAGCAAATAATTAAAGCTATAGTATAAGAATCGGTACCGGAATTGAAAAAGCTCGATCGATGCATCAGTACTATAGTCTAGATAACTAACGATAATCAAAATACAGTTATGATTCTACTAGTCACGATATGTCGATTAATCATTGCAGCTCTAGTTGCAGTGTTTTCTATAGTGAAGTTAGTGCAGATTTCTCGCTGTCTTCCTGAAATGCAGTTCTATATTTCTTGTGCAATGTCCATATGCCTTCTAGGACACACATATATCATGAAAACATTATAAATATTTAAGATATTGAGCAAGGTGCAAAGGTTGCATCAATAAGGAGCTTTGAATAATTAAATGTATCCACCTGATTTTAATCCATAGTCATTGTATTTTTATTATCAGGAAACAGAGTGCACCTAGTCATTTTAAGTTTGCAGTAGCTCAAGTTGCCTATTATTATTTTAATTAAATATACAGTGTTCTCATTATTATTCTTAGTTTGATGCATCTGGTCAAACATAGTCTTTTCAGAATTCATCTTATTAATTCAGCTACTACAGATGTTTACGGACCAACTTTTGTCTCTAAATACACTGAAAACTGATTTAGTGGTACTTGTTTCATATCTTGAAATGATACAGCCATTTGATCACACATTATCACACTATTTTTGTTTCAGTATGCAGATGGACCCTGACTATATATAATGAAAAATATGGCTTTTGAGCTGTGGATATTGTAAAAGTATAGCTAAAACACTTTTGATGTTGCCTAGGAAGGAGAAGGTGAAACTGAGGATTCTGATGCTTCTGCGGCTGCTGTAGAGAGGGATCACGAGAGGGCTCAAACCTACACCTGAGTAAATGGAAATGTAGGGGAGCCAGAGTGCATTGATTTGAGAGAGATAGATAGACAGAAGTGGCAAATTGTGATGACAGGGACATAGGCAGGTTACATGAGGTAGAAATAATACATTATATGATAAACATACAGTCTTCCTTAATTTTCCATCCACCCTAAATATTTAGCATAGTCAAATATTAAAGGCAAAACATATATTTATGCTTTCTGAATTTCATCATCTAAGTTGGCATATATACATTTTAAACAAGTTAGTTCCACATCTCAAACTTAGATATTTCGTAATGTATATTTTGGTATATTGTCTGCTGTGTGATTGTGTGTCATTGGATTTTTAATTTTTTTTTTATTTTGTACTTGTACACTTAAATTTGAACCTTATTTTTTTCTGTATTGTTTTGCAGAAGGAATGGCTGTGCTTGAACTGCCAGACTCAGAGGGCCTTGTCAGGAGAGCTTGGAGCTCCAGGGAAAATGTCTCAACCGGCACCTCCATCAGTCAAGACAGAAACCCAGGCTGTATCACCAAGCAAAAAAGAAGAACCTACGCCAACAGATACAAAGCCTGCACCACCACCTGTCAAAGCCAAGCCCGAAACTGCACCCAAACCACAAACCCCACCTTTGCCCACCAAGATGGAAAAAGAGGTTACGAAGCCTACTCAGGTGTCTGATAAACTTCCAGATGGTAAGCCTGTCCCTCCAGCAAAACCCACCTATGTTACACCTGAAAAGAAGCCAGTTGAAGTTCCCAAAGCAGTGGCAATGGAAGCTAAAAAAGAACCAGAGAAACCCAAAGTGTCTGAACCAACTGACAAACCAAAAGTGGAGGTACCGGCTGCACCCGCTCCCGTCCCACCCACCAAGGCAACCGTGGCACCCATCTCCAGTGTTCCGAAGTCTGAAGTGGCAGAAGTGGTGCCCGTGGCTCAGAAAAAGCCTTCGGAGGTGATAACACTGGCGAAGGATACAAAAGCTGTCAAAGAAGAAGAAAAGATGCAAGAACCACAACCTGAAAAGAAAGTGGAACCTGTCTCAGTAGATGACAGCAAGACCAAGGTTGCTGATGTGGTCACTAAAGCTGCTGCAGTTACGGTTAGAGTCTTTATACAGAGCATATTTTTTGAATATGGATTTCCACATGGGTTTTGTTTTCTTTGGGAACACTGTATTTTAAATAGGTGTGGTCTGATATGGATTTTATTGATATATCTGATATCCAATATTTAACTTGCTGATGTGCCTGATAACTAATATTTGTTGATAAGATATTAAGATTAAGATTTTCTTTTGGAAAAATAATACCTTTATTTAATTTACGTATCTGTAATATACAATAGTATATAATAATATATTGTTTAAACATGCAGGCATATTTTAGCTCTATGTTTCTTCTATTTCCATTTTCCTCAAGGATCTGTTCAAAAAGACTAATCTAATGAACTGGAGATGAATTTGGAATGATAAATGGGCACCCAGAGACTGGGGCCGTGCTGAAAAATACCGGTGCCAAATTCTCAATATTGGACCGATACCAATATCTGGACAAACCCTCTGATATACCACCAATATCATCAATAAACCATCCCCAGTTTTAGATTTTGAAGTAGAAATGATAATGACAGTTAACTAAGTATTTTTTCCAGGCTATATCAGTGAATATTAAAACTGACTATGATCAAAGGAGAAGTAGATGACTTAATACTGTGTAATATACATTAGTTTTGGCCCATGCATGCAAAAACAGATACTGATAAAAAAATAATAATAATTTTAAACTTCGACTCATCCATAATGTTGTTAATCTGTTTTTTGGGTTTGTTTTTTTTTTTTGCAATTTTGCACTTGTGGTGAATAGCTACTCATAAACCAAGTACAAAACATGACATGAATAGTATTGTTTATAACTTGTTGCCAGTAAGTTTTTTCAATTTGACAAATGACATTACTAATTGGGCATAGTGAACTGCCTTCAATTCTTAATACTTTTTCTTTATGTAGTAACTATGTATCAAGTAGATGTGAATGTTTTATCTCAAATGTTTCTTATGTCTTGTGTATTTACAGGTAGTGAAAGAAGTTGAAAAGGAGCCAGCTAAAGAGATTGAAAAGCCCTCTTTGCCAACGCAACAGGTTAAAGTGGAAATATCTCAGCCTAAAGGCGATGATGAATATGAACCCCAAGTTTTACCAATAAGTGAAGAAATAAAGAGTGCACAGGTGGTCGGTGATGCAAATGAGAATACCATTAAACAAGTTGAACCAGTGACTGCAAAGGAAGAAGTCAAAACTGAGAGGAGGCGTTTAAGTTTCCAAGCAATGGAGGAGAGCAGTGAAAGTGAGCTCACACCTTCACCAAAGGTCCAGAGGAGAAGGCTCAGAGTCACCCACCTTTCATCGAGCAGTGAGGATTTGAAAACTGAGAGCGCAGATTCATCCGGGGAAGACGAGGAATTCATACGTGAACAGATTATGGGTATGCGTGACGAAGAACACATGTCACTTTCAGAAGACGAAAAAGATAAAGAGGCAGAAGATATAGTCAGTGAGGTTGTGGTTGACAATGCCGCACCCATAACCAAACCTTCTCAACCCACAAGTAGTGAAGAAACTGCAGTTAAGCCATTGCCTCAAACTACAACAAAACCTACTCAGGAAGTTACCGAAACTGTGTTCAAGAAAGCAACACCAGCAATGAGGCAAAGACAGAGCACTGATGAAGAAGTGGAGAGTATCACAGAGTCATTGTCCAAGGGCTCATCCAGCGTTCAGGCATCCAGCTTTACTCCAGGATCCTCACCTACATCAGCTTCTTCCATAGAGGAGGACAGCGATAGTAGTCCAAGTCACAGAAAAATCTCTGACAAACCTCATAAGAAGGGTAAACATCGACAGCCGACACAGCCTCTTCCAACTATTGAAGATTCGTCTGAAGAAGAAAGGACAAGGGAGGAGGAGAGATCATGGAAAGATAAAGATGAAGGTGCATCGTCTTCCGAAGAGTTACGGCAAGTTACTGTATTAAGTGATAAATCAGGATCCGACCACTCGGCCAGTGTGGAGTCAGTGGACAGGCAAGCTGTCCAAAGAGGCCGCAAACCTTCGCCAACAGTTATACCGTTCACACCAGAGCCTTCCCCACAAATAATAACAAAAACTTTGAAGAGCGCTGACGAAGCTTATGAAGAAATCCTCCAGAAAGCAAAAGCTATTCCGGGAGAGAGTCCACCTGATATTGAACCGATGTACGGAGGAATGCCAATAGAAGACTACCTCTATGAGTCACTAGTTGAAGAGCCTGAAAGGATATCTGGAAGTGACGAGCTCAAAATTGACATTGTCTCCGAACCAGAAAAGAAACTTAGATCTCCAGAAGAGGTTTATGAAGAGATGATGCAGAAAAAGCGAGAACTTATGATGATCGAACAGGAGCTTCATGAAGCCCAGACCTTGCTAGAAGCTTCAGCTGCTGCGGAGGCAGAGAGTTGTGTGGTCTCTATGCCGGCTGAAGAGCCATCTTCTCCTCCTCTAGGTGAGGGTGAAGAATCCCAAACTGACATGCAAGTTAAGAGGAAGAAAAGGCCAGCTCCACCACGGCCCACTGAGCCTCCAAAGCGTACTGAAGGGGCTGTTTACCCCTGTGGTCCTACTGGTATAAGTTTTGTAAGGCCAATGACTCCACAAGACCCTTCACTTTGCAAGGCACTATTTCCTATACCAGATCTAAAAATTACCCAATGTTCTTCTGGGGAGGAAGAGGAGGATAGTCTTGCTGATGAGTATGGCGTTGGTATGTCTTCAGACATTACACCTAGTGATGATTCTGACGCTAAAGAACCTAGCCCACCTTTGTCTGACATTGCAGAAATAGAGCCTATCAGTGTAGTCTGTGAAATACCAGAAGCAAAACCAATTCCAGCTCCAATATCAGCTCCAGAGCTAACCTCTACACCTTCTCCTTTATCACCTGTTTCACCACCAACTTCGCCTGCCTCCCCAGAGTCAAGTTTGGCAACATCAACCTCTTCATATCAAGCTCAAACTCCTCCTTCATTAGATTCAACACCACTGTCCACACCTACTCCTCCGACATCAGTTGTAACCCAGTCCCCACCAGGGGCGGTTTCTATAATACCCCTGAACATAGCTACTGACCAAGCTTCATCCACTGTTGTAGTTACAATACCTGATGTGGTGTCTGAACCTTCCAAACCTTCATTTTCTGACTTTCAGAAAGACCAAGTTAAAGACAGAACTTCAGGTGTGGTAGAAACATTAACTGCTGAACAGACCTCAGCTCAAATGCCAGACTTGGTTTCATCTCCGTCCCAGATGCCAGTTGAAACTGTTACGCAGGTCACAGCAGCAACTGTAGAACCTACTGTAGTGTCAGTTCAATCCACAACCGGGGCAGTTACATCAGTTGTGGGACCAGCAGCTACTCGCCAAGCTGATTTGCGTTCTGGAACTCCTGTTATAGTGCAGATGCCAGACTTGGTGTCAACAGCATCTCCTGCAGTTTCAGCTATTGTCACAATCCCATCACAAGCCCAGACAGCCGTTGTTCCCTCTGGCTTTGTCCAACCAGCTGTCCCATCTGCAAGTCAAACGATCCAAGCACCCATTACCTCAACAACAATAGTTAAACGAAAGGTCCCGCCTCCTCCACCTCCCCGATCAACTTCAGTATCTTTGCCTGATGACAGATTTCAACAGACAGTCTCTCCAGCTATCACTACAGTCACTGCTGTTACATCAAAGCCTACACAGCCAATGCAGTCAGTAGTTGTAGACATACAGCCGAGAGTAGATGCTGGTGCTGATACAACTCAGTTAGTTACCCCAACTAGACAAGGGCATGTCATGATCATTGTGCCTACTAAAGAAAAAGTATCTCTTGAAAACCAAACACAAGACAGCATCGCAGTTACCTCTGTACCTTCTACCCGTGACACAGTTACACAAGCTGCTATTTCCTCAAAGGTGTCGGCTCCACCAGTTCCTCCTAAACCTGTGTTAGCAACAAGAGCTCCTTCTGAGGTAGCTGACACAGTAGAAATAACTGTTGCCTATAGTCCTCCACCGGCTTCATCAACATTACCTAAGCCTCCTGTTTCTCCCAAGCCTCATATGCCCAGTGTCAGTGTATCTACAACAACCACCACACCTGTGTCCCAGGCCCCTGTAACAACCAGTAGTCCCAGTCATATGTCCAAGCCTCCTCCTCCTATCCCACCAAAACCTGTTTCTATTCCAGCTGGATTGGTCTTTAGCCACAAACCAGGAGAAAGTGTCAAACCACCCTATGCTATTCCCAAAGCAGCGACACTTCCAAGAACAAAAGAACCACCAAATGCACTTTCTCTTAGCATTACACGGCCTGTGGAATCAAAAAGTGGAGCAACATCACCTAAATCACCAGTATCTCCAAGATATGCGAAATGTGTTGAAACCTATGTGGTCATAACCCTGCCCTCAGAACCTACTGAACCTGGTTCACCACCAGAGGGTATTACAGTTGTAGCACCTGTACGACGAGGGTCAACTCCTTCTACTAAAGTATCAGAAGTGCGTGCCACACCAGCGGAGCAGAAAACCCCTTCAACAAAGGCAGCACCAAGGAGGTCATCTGTGCCCACTGTGAGATATCCTTCGCCAACTCCACCTCCCACTGTGGTTATAGAACAAGCGCCCCCTAAAGTGGTTCTTAGTGAAATACAGCAGAAACAAGTCTCTGTTATATCTATGCAACCTGCACAATCTGTCATTGATGCTGCAGCAATGCCAAGTAAAGATACACCTATTCAAGTGCAGAGTGTAGCTGTTCCAATCAAGAAACCATATGTACAACTTGTAGAACAAAAGCCAATTACACAGCCCGTACCAGCACCAGAAGTAATTGTGTTGTCCTCTGAGCCAATTATTCCTATTCAGCCACAGACAGTACAAGTAACAGCAAGAGCACAGCCTGTCTGTTCAGAAAAACCTACAGAAACAGTTCCTCAGGTCCCACCGACAACTGTAGAAGTACAGCCAGTACAGCCTCCAGATGTTTATGTTAATATACAAACTACTGACATTACAACTGGTATTGCTCCACAGTTGCCACAGGTTGAAACTTTTATAGAAATTCAAAATGTTCCCCAGGAAGAACAGGCTGTAATAGAAACACCACTAACAGTCTATGAAACAGATACCACGATTGAGCAGCAGCAATATAAAGAACATATAATATCTGATCATCCAGAAGTCCAAATGCCTTCTGTTCAGCATCCACCTTCAGTCACTGAGGTAAAAGATCAAGCTGTTATTCTAATGCCACCACCTACGGCGGCAGAAGTTATGAATGTAGTACAAGCCACCATTCCTGAGACAACCCCACCATCAACCCTGATTGGGGTCCAGGAAGTGGTTGTGCAACCTATGGCAGCTCCAAATTCCTTTATTGGAGATAGTATTCCTGACATTGCCCCTCCTCTCATGCAGTCTCCAACACCACCACTTGAAATAATAGCATTGCCTTATGAGAGACTCACAGATGTCAAAACTGACGATGTCTGGAGCACTACAATACCATCAGCAGCACAGCCTCAAACTGTGATCCCTGTTGAAGTTTTTACAACAGATGAAACAACTAGTAGAAGGACTTCAATAACATCTATTCCACAGCCAATATTTGTCACAAGTCAGACAGTCCCCTATCCTACAGAGTATGAAGTACCTGCGCAAATAATTAAAACAGAGGAATATGCTGCCACCAGGAGGGCGTCCATAACTCTACAACAACAAACACAAAGAGATGAAGTGATGTACATGCCAACAGAGAGCAATATTTCAATCACAATGCCTGAAAGATCTGAACCAAAACCAGTTTTTATTTCAGAATATGATCACACACAAATAGAAGATGACATGTATGGAAGGAGATCTTCAGTACCGACACAAGATATCCCACAGGCTGTTTCCGCTTCTCCAGTCACAATAACAAAAATCCAACAGGAATCTATCGAAAGTCAGGAGATCCGAGGACAAGAAAAGGTTGTCTCCAGTTTGAGCCATGTGTATTCTTCACAGATTTCTACCTCAGGCCACCCTCCTGAAAGCATGCCAAGCCTCGTCACTCAGGTTGTCACAACTGAAGTGCAAAGAACAACTGTCTCTGTAGTTCATGAAAGAATCCCGCAGGTTCCCCCTTCAAATGTGGCAATTACAATTCAGCCTGAAATTAGAGCCACACCTACTTCTCCAAAACAGAATGGAAGGGTGTATCCAGTTGATGTGATTGATTTGCGCACTATACGAGATGGGGTAAAGATGACTGAACAGGGAATGGACTTGACTCCACCAGAATCTGGTCGACAGTCATTTTCAAGTGACTCCAGTTTGCGGCAAATCACTGCAGTTCAGCCTGAGATAGTGAACCTCAGTGCAGAAATCACCCCCTCAACAACTTTAGCTGTTGTGACAGATAGCATCACAATAGTCACTTGCACTGCCACCATTGCCTCGTATACCCCAGCAGAAAAACCTCTTGATTTGCAGGGTTCTGTCACATCAACCCCTCTTCCTCTAACTACTTACAAACCATTTGAACCATTAGCGCAGATTGTGTATAAACCTGTGAACACAGCACCTCCAACCAGTATGGTAACATCCACCGTTCAAGACTTACCGATGAACCTTTCTTATGGAGCTATAGTCTCTTCTGAAGCAAAATCTCCCTCAGCACCAGTAATTTCCATAGAGACAAACGGCGCCATAGATTTGTCAAACTACAAACCAATGCGAGCTATAGTGGCTTTGTCTAGTACAAGTCCTGGAGTAACTACCACCGTGATTGAAGATGATGATACTCCGATTGACCTGACAGCTGGAAGGAGGAGCGTGTGCTGCGATGTAATATATAAGCTCCCGTTTGCGGGTAGTTGCGGCGCTCAACCTGCAGTCACTACCCAGCCGGACAGCCAATACCAGCAGGATAGTACAGGGTTGTACAGTATCAAAGGCATGAATGGGATGAAGGTGTCACTGTCAGAAACCAATGTTCCAGAGGTGGCATTGGTTCCATATGATCCAACCAAAGACTATCTCAATGGTTCAGCGGATGGAGCCATAGACCTCACTGCTGCTAAACTTGCTGGTAAGTTCATGAGTCTGTAATTCTGGAATGCCGTGTATTTTGCATGATGTTTGAGTGGTAGTAGTTGTAGTAACAGCAGTCAGGCTGTAATGGAATACCGAAATTATTTTTTGACATATAGACATGCCAATTGCTGACTAAAAGGAGGGTGTGGCATTAGCAGATATCAATATAATCTCTATGATCAGGCCATATATTTGACCCACGGACAAGACAAGAAAAGTACTAGTAAATTACATTTTTTGTTTGTAAAGAGGTACAATTTATTTCCAATTTATTTTTTTTTTTTTCATTTATGAAAGTTGTTAGACTAAGACACGATCGGCCAAGTGATTGACTGAGCGATCTATAGCTAGGGCTGGCGATATTGCAATAAAACATTCATGGTGAAGAGAGTAAGAGAACTATCAGAAACAGCAAATAGCTTTAGTGACCCCTAAAATACTGTATAAGAAAATATTAATTGTGATCAGATGGAAATCTTGATCTGGCTCTAAGAAAATCATGATATGATTTTTTTGGTATATCGCACTTCCATATCTACAGCCATAATAGTAGTAATAGTATATAATAATGTAGTAATTTAATGTAGTAAAAGTAATTTCATATTCTAATTCAGGTTTTCCTAGTTGATATATTGTTTTTTTGTCTTTGTGCTATTTTATGTGATTTTATTTTGCATGCCTTTTAATATTCTGCTTGCTTGTTTTTGTTTTGTTTTTTCTTTACACAGATGCATGCCTCTGCCTGCGTGTTCTTCCTCTTCGTTTTGCTTCATGCTAGCCAGAATGACCAGAAATGCATGTTCTCTACCAAATTTTGTTTTTTCTTCTTTTTTTCAAACCTTATTCACGTTCACAATCCTAATGTACCTTCCTTAATGTGGCAGGTAAACCCTTGGACTACACTAGCAAAGCTGCTGGAGGTTACCCTGCACTGGCTACTTCCCCTTATGGTCAAAGTCTTTCCGCTGGCTTCGGCGTAAATAGTGCTATAAGAACTTCTGATGGAATGGTATACACCTCAGTCGCAGCTCCTGTCCCTTCAACTTATGCTATCACCACTCAACCAGGGTCTATCTTTAGCACAACCCATAGTCCTATCGCTGCAAACCTAAATCAAGCTTTAGTCCCTTACCAGTTAATCCCAACTACCGATCCTGGTCAGATTATTCCTTACGACACTGGGCTACCTAAGGAACTTCTACCAACCGCTCTAGCTGACATCATTACAGGCTATCAAGAGATGTATTCAGACACCACTTTAGAAGCTATTGCTGCTTCTTTGGATGCCCTCGCTACCTCTCCAATATTCCCAGGCTTGGACAGCACCAAAATGGCCCAGTATCAGATGGAAAGAGAATTCCTTGAATTAGAAAAGCTAAAACAGATATGCCTTGCCGAAGAGCTGGAGTGGGAGAGGCAGGAGATTCAGCGTTACCGAGAACAAGAGCAACTGATGGTCCAGAGAGAACTGGAAGAACTGCAGGCTTTGAAACAGCAACTACTTCTGCAGCAAGAGGAGGAACATCACGCTCATATGGTGGCCCAGCAGGAGACATACGCCCAGCAGAAAGAGCAACTACAGCAGATTCAACAGCTCCAACTGCAGCTTCAGAGGCAACTAGACGAGCATTACGGCACCAACACGGCTCATCTCCTTGAAGCCAAATATGCAGGTGTAGGGGACAGCGGTCAATACTGGCCTGTGAAAGACGAATCCTCAACTCCAGCCATAGGGGTACAGTTAGAGGGTAGTCAGGATCAGTTACACATCAAAAAGCTTCAGGCTGACCAGGATACAGGAAAAAAGATTATCGATAGCGGAGTGCACTCAGATGATGAGGATTCAGAAAAGCAAGCAACAAGCAGTTTAGGAAGGAGAAAGAAGACGAAGCGAACCTCTGATAGTTCGCCTCCGACGGACGACGAAGATGACTGGGATACTCCAACCAAATCCCGCCGGCGTTCACGAAAGCATAGCAGCGAAGGCAAACATGGTTCCAAAGTGTCAAGTATAGCAATACAGACGGTAGCTGAGATTTCCGTACAAACAGATCATTCCGGCTCAATAAAACGGCCAGTTTTGGATACTAAAGTTGAAATAATTAAACATATCTCAGCACCAGAGAATTCCCAGAGAGGTGGGAGTCTGAGCTGTCAAACTGAGAGGCACCAACCAATCGAGGTGGGATACAGCACTCACCTAACAGCAGATGGGCAATGCAAGTCCAAAGTTTTCTATGGCTCTGTCTCACCTGTGTCACCTGAGAAGTCCCTAGGAGGGCAAAGGATGCTGATGGCAGATCCCAATCGGTTTTCCTCTGGTCCACGGTCACTGAAACCTGGTCAGAAGTCTCTATCTGATCCCAAATCCCTTAGTCCTACAACTGACGATAGGATGGGCTACTATGGAGATGGCTATTCCGTGAGTAAAAAGCAAAATTGAATAAACAATGGTGGCTATTTGTATGATCTTTTAACGCATTCTGTTAAATTGATTTTTTTATTTTATTTTTTTTTCAATCTAGGGCCGAGGTTCTCCATCCAGTACAGGGAAGAAGGTCAAGAGAACCCTGCCAGACCCACCACCAGAAGAGGAGTCGGTGTCTGGGCGGTCTGGCTACAGCACAAACTCTGCCAGGAGAAGACTGGCAAGAAGTACGACCATGGCCCGAGCGAAGATCTTACAAGATATTGACAAGGAACTCGACCTGGTAGAGAGAGAATCCTCCAAACTGCGCAAGAAACAGGCTGAGCTCGATGAAGAAGAAAAAGAGATTGATGCTAAGTTACGGTAAGAGACTGAAAAGTTGTTGAAACATATTTTTAATATCTGTAAATTTAGTTGTACTTTTTATTTTTTATTAAGTTTGGACCATACAGACTGTAAAGCACATGCCAAACATTTCAGATTTTATCAATATTACACTTTATCCATAAATAGTATCTATAGAGGAGCGTTCAGTCACCATTTTAAAACCCTTTTACTGGTAAAAAAAAAAAAAAATCTGAAAAGTACTATTATAAATTTGTTAGCTCCACCCCTAAAATTCTGAATATTAATCTTGATTTGGGTTTAAAGTTATGTTTGAGTTGAGGTTAAGGTTTATTTACTGTTTTAAAACTTGATTTGAGACTGAAATAAAGTGAAAAAAGAAACAAAAATTAAGTACTTTTTTTTCCCCTGAAACTACAATAAGCAGCAGTAAATAAACCATTCTCAAAATAATAAAAGTAATATTATTTCATTCTTCTGTGCATTGAAAAATGTATGTTTACGTGTGTGTCACCGTTTCATGTGTCATTCATTTCATTTGCATGGCTCCCCTTCCCCATTAATAGCTTTAGAGGTAAAAGACGACCGTGACATCATTCAATGGGTCCCTCCCTCACTTACACATTGTCAAAAGGTACTAAGTGTGTAAAAGTTGGATTTATTGAGGTTTGCAGTGCTCCGTTTTAATCTTTTAACCATTTAATAACAATTGAACTCATATTTTTAGGTACCTGGAAATGGGTATCAACCGACGCAAGGAGGCATTGCTGAAAGAGCGTGAGAAGAGAGAAAGGGCCTATCTCCAAGGGGTGGCAGAGGAGCGGGATTATATGTCAGGACAGTGAAGTCAGCAACATCAGAGAGGAGAGGGGAGAGGGTCTGGAACGCCCACGGACCGCTCCCCAATCTGAATTTGACCAGTTTATCCCCCCGCAGACAGAGGCTGACTCCCAGTACAACACCCTAACCAGCCCATACTCCCACTACGCTCAGTATGTGCCCCAAACTCAGACCACCAGTCACTACACTCAGCAAGGGCTCTACCAGCAGCAGTCTCTATACCACCAACAGGTTTCTCCTTATCAGAATGTCCCCACTCTGTCACTGTCCCAGGCTCAGCCCAGCAGTTACCAACACGCTCTGCTCCTGCAACAAGGGAAGCAGAGGCAGACCACCTTGTCCGACCTAGAGCCTAAAATGGCCACCAACTATGAGGTCATTCGCAATCAGCCCCTGCTCATTGTGCCCACCTCCTCAGAGAGTGGGTATGGAGTGGCGCCCCTAGGAAGTAAGTTTGCCAGTCTGGACTTAAGACTTGGACTGGAGGAGAGGAGCATGGCGTCCAGTCCCATGTCGAGCATCTCTGCCGATTCCTTTTATGCAGACATAGATCATCACAACGCCAGGAACTATGTGCTCATAGAGGACATAGGGGAGCTGACCAAAGCCTCCAGTGGCATGGGGAGCTCCGGCTTCAGTCTGCCCGATAAGGAGCTATCCAAGGCGGACAGACTGCTCCGAGCAGCAGAAGTCAGACGCACCGCAGAGGTAAAGAGAATGCTTTTTAATGATTGTTGTAGTTGTTACTATTTTCAGAATAGGTACCTAGGCACCAATTTGATGCTAGAATGTATTAATTTCAACAGCTGTCTGATCTGTTATAAATGAGTGTGTGCATAACATCTGTTTTTCTTTCTCTGTCTCTCTCTCTCTCTCTCTCTCTCTCTCTCGAGATGGCTGATTTTTTAGGATCATCGCGACTTCAAGGTTACAGTAAAGGGGAAGATGACACCATGGAAGAGCCCTATGAGCTGAAGCTACTGAAGCAGCAAATAAAGCAGGAGTTTAGGAGAGGGACAGAAGGATTGGAGCATCTCACAGGCCTGGGCCTGCCACAGTATCTCCATAGCGACCCCACTTTTCGTCACTTCCCAAAAGGTGAGAAATACAGCATTGGCAGACTCACACTTGAAAAACAGGCTGCAAAGCAGCTCCCCGCAGCAGTACTATACCAAAAACAAATGAAAAACAAAAAGGCCCTTTTGGACCCAAAAGCCATCAGTAAATGTTCCCCAATCCAAGAGAGTAGGGATCTGGAGCCGGACTATGCCAGTTACATGGGATCAGGGGCGTCCTCTGTGACTAACCTGGCAGCTCGGGCCAGGCTGCTCCAGGATGAAATCACCTTTGGTCTGAGGAAGAACTTGGCGGAGCAGCAGAAGTATTTGGGATCGTCTCTGGGGGCAAACTTGGCTGGCTCCCTGAACCTTGGCCAGAGTCTGGGACTGGGCACAGCTCTGGATGGCACATACCCCAGTGGCTCACGCTCCCGGCCCTCTTCACGGCCCTCTTCCCGTCCCTCTTCAGGTGTATGGTTTGGACCTGTCAATCAAACGAGATCTGTCCAGCTCCTCCCTCAGACTCAAACCAGAGGGGGATGTCCTGGACGCAGCCTTTGCCCCGGGGGTGGCCAGAACCAAACCCACTAGTTTACCCATCAGCCAGAGCCGGGGCCGCATCCCCATAGTGGCTCAGAACTCAGAGGAGGAAAGCCCCCTTAGCCCGGTGGGGCAGCCCATGGGCATGGCCCGGGCCTCTGCGGGGCCCCTGCCTCCCATCTCCGCCGACTCCAGGGACCAGTTTGGGTCGAGCCACTCTCTCCCCGAGGTGCAGCAGCACATGAGAGAGGAATCCCGCACTCGTGGCTATGACCGGGACATGGCGTTCATCATGGATGACTTACAGGGCGCTATGTCGGACAGTGAAGGTAAATGGAGGCTGCTCCAGCTGCAGCTGGGCTGTGTGGACGTGCCTGTCATGCATGCCATCGCTCACTGGTCTTCTGATGGATGGTGTTAACTATTCTCTCTCTTCTTGTTTGCTCTTTGTCTTTGGTGATAAATGTCTTTTAGATGTCTGCATGCTTTTTCTTTCTTATACTTTTGATTACAATACATAATACTCCTCATTTTGAGTTTATGTATGCTAGTACTAACCATATTTATTCTGTGATGTGATACTTGTCGCATGTTTATCTAATTGTCTTTGTTAAACTTGTTTTATCTATCAATAATTTCTCTGCAAAGCAGTTAAAGTACAAAAGAATCACTATATATTGTATATAATGTCATCTGTATATATATATATATATTTTTACAAGAGATTGGTTTTACAATGGACAGTTCACAATAGTGTAAAATACTAGAGTTTGAGAGAGATCTAAAAGACAAGTGCCTTACTATAAAGCCGTAAATAATGCTTTCAAAAGCAAGATGTCTTAAACATATTTAATCTTTCCCTGAACTTACTACCCTATTTGCAGACAAAACTAATGTGTGTCTAAAAAATAGGTGATAAGAAAATATGTTCTCTGTAAACGTGTCCCTTGGCCCTTCTGTCAGACAGGAGATCACTTCCTAATGCACCGCTGCTGTGTCACGCTTTCACTCTGTGCTTCCTGTTTAGTTGTGCATAACCAAAAAGCACTACTACTGAACTATAGATTTAAAGGTCCTATATTATGCTAATCTGTAATTTCCACTTGCTTTGTAATGTTCATTTAAGAGAAAATATATACCTGTACTTTGTTTGATTTAAATTCTTCATATATTTAAAGCTTAAGGCCTTACTTATTATTAGCTAGTAACTCATATTTTTTAGTCTTATTATAACTGACTTGGCTACTGTACTTGTGCCCTCTGTTGTAAGCAGTAGTCATTTTTAGGTACAGACATTAATCATAATATCTAGGTAAGTTAAGGTTACTGAAAGAACATTATATTTAATTTGAGTACATTTGACTTTACAATTATAATTATCTAATAATGCAATACGGTTTTGGTTTTCTATGTATAACAAGATGTACTTTCTTATTTTAATTATAAAATGTTCCAGTGGTAGATAATTTTACCTGTAAAGTGGTATTTACTCAAACCAAATCAAGTAATTTAATTCAGTAGTTTTAACTTTGCTAGCTTTGACTTTTTGCAGAGTAACAGAATTTTAAACCACCTGGATAATGCACAATATAGGACCTCTAATGCATTGTAAAACTTATTTCCTCTTACTTGTTTATGTATCTACTATAATACATGTCTTTTACGTGTGTGTATTCAATGTTTTTGTTCTGTATTGTTTTTGCACCCTGCATGCTGTCCATTCCCATATTGAATAAAGTGTATCTTTTTTGCTTGCTCAATGTTGCTGTGGACGTCTCATTGTCACGTGAGATTTCCATGTTCCAAAGTGATTGACAACAAATACTGAAATGTTCGTTGTAGAATCTCCCATCTGCATCTCGAGCTGGATTGGCACTGTTCCACTAGGCTACAGCAGAACAAAACAAAACATAGTATTAATATAAAAAAGATATATGATTAGTTAGTTTTTAAAAAGATGCATTAGATACAAAGGGGATAATATTAGGTTTGTATTGTGTTAAAAGGAATCTATGAAATACAGTAGTTATTTTTTGATTTAAAGCCAGTGCACTTTTGGTTTGGAAAAGCAGACAATTTCAAATGTTGTTATTATTAATACACTGGTTTTAGATACACTACTAGTATCTAGGACACACGTTTTCCTTTAAAATACTTTTTTTTTTCTTGATACTCACGACTATATACATTCAGAAGTGGGTAGATAAGACAAAAAATGTACTCAAAAGAAAAGATAATGAGAAGAAAAAGACATACTGTGAAAGTTATGCGTAGTAAAAAGGAGCTTCTTTCTTATTCTTTTCTGATAGTTTGTCTTTATGTTTAATTCTTTCTAAATTTTATATGTTTATATCTTTAATTCAAATTCTTTAGCCATGCTTTGCTTTGTCCACAGCACCGCAAAGCCTTCGCCTTCTCTTAGTGAAATAGTTTTCACTTCACAGGCGTGCCATGTCAGGGTCAAGAAATGCTGAAAGTGCAAAGCAGTGATCAAAGCAAAGCTCAGCTACTTTTTAAAATCTAAAACAAATTTTAGATTATTTTGAGATGAAGTTTTGTTTACTACATTCCATGTGTGCTCATTCATAGTTTTGATGCCTTCAGGGAGAATCTCTAAAGTCAAAGAATCTTGGAAATAAAGAATAAACATAAATGAAAAAGTGTGTCAAAACTTTTCACTGGTAGTGTATACAGTATTCCCAACTTATCTGCTATACATAAATAATCAAATGAGATAAAATATACACACAAAAAACATTTCACACAGGTTTATTCAATCACATTACACTATAGATTACATAATTTTTAGTATGGTCAGTTGTCTGCTTTAGTCAAACAAGGAGTACACCGCCTACAAAATTCACATGATTTAATTTCAACTTTATTTATAATTTAGTACGTCATAGATTCCCATTTACAAAATACAAATAAAAAACTGATTTCACGTCATGCACTTTGGTTACGAAGGCAATAGTTTTCAATGCTTGGTAGAGTTAGCCTTGCTTCTTTCCATAGACACAAAGTTAGCCAAACCAAATGAACCCATATAAAATGTCCCTGTGATTCCAGCACTAGGTGAGCCCATGGTCCTTTTGCACAGAGACGATGGCAGAATCTTTCATGAGAGTATCAGACACGGTAGAGTATTCCATGTGGAGTATAAAGGTGCACTGTGTTACCTTTCGGATGGGGGTCCGTCATCTGCTCGTTTCTATGGATACGTCATTGCTCTGCCTGGAATGTTCCAGTATACAGGTGGTTTTACAGTTCAAAAATACGTAGAACAACAGGCATTATGACTGTGAGTGGGGTTGCCTCTCCACAGATCTGACCTGTAACTTGGCCTGGTTTGGTCTCCCTGATGACAGAAAGATTTAACACCATACTGTGAAACATTCCGAACAAAGCAATAACATCACCATGGAGGAAAGCATTTGACGGACCCTCCACCAGAAAAGTTACACAATGCACCTTTAAGTAAAAAAATTAAGTCAATAGAAATCACAATATTTATTTTAAGTTAAGTTAAGTAGTGATTTGCATTAAGTTCAGTATTAAAAGCATGTGTAATAGATGACAAGTGCTTTTAGTGCATGTGGTAGTGTACAGTAGTAGTCTATAGTCAGAGGTGGAAGGATTTTTTTACTCAAGTAATTGACATAAATAAAAAATAAATAAAAATAAGAGTGCAGTTTCAAAATTCAAGGTCTGAGAATCTGAATGGTTTAGGATAAATTCTCATAAATATATACAAAAAAGAAAAAAAAAGAAAAAATAAACTTGAATATTAAATTCATACGAAAAAAACAAAAAGCAAAATGTATCAAAAATCACCGTTTTGATTCTCTACCCTGAATTTGGACTTTACTTGAGTAATAAAAATAGTTTCTTATACTCAAGTTAAAGCTAAATGAAGCTAAAGTTAAAAGGTTGGTATAGATTTGGTATAGAAGGTCCAGTGACATATGAACAGAAGTAACTATTTTAAATACTTGAATTCTAGATATTAATATTGATTTGAGAAGATTTAAGATTTAAATTTACATTTCAGCTTGATATACAACATCCAGTCAGTTTACCACAATAATGAATTATTTTTTTAAAGTGCAGTGCAACATCTTAGATGTTAAAGGTCCTGTATTACGCAAAATTTATTCATGTGAGTTTAAAGCCATGTTAGAATATTGTTATCTCATCAAAAACATACCTGGAGTTGAGTTTTGTTTAATTCACACGTTTGAGTAACCTTTTATTATTAGTTTGCCTACATCTCCAAAGCTCAAAATGCTCTGTCCCACCTTGTGATATCATCAAGTGGTAGTTTTCTAAATAACAGCTCCCTTTTACCTTTAGTTCAGTAGAGACTGGAAATTCCAGGGCTGAAATTATCCAAATGAAGGTGTATGGAGTTTAAAATGCAGTGGAACACTTCCTGTATGACATGACATCACAAGGTGGAACAGAGTGTTTTCAGTTTGAGAGAAGTACTCAGCTTAGATATACAGAATTTGTGTTAAACATGTGTGAAAAAAACAAAACACAACTTTGGGTAAGTTTTTGATGAGAATATAACATAACATATATCAGAAAACAGCATAATACGGGCGCTTTAATAGTGACACTGTAACATTGTAAATACACTTAACACTCAGTATTTTTAAGGCACATTATTTCATTCTTTTTACATTGCACTGTTACTAATAGTAAAGTAACACAATATTTACTTGAGTCCCACCTCTGCTTAGCTGTAGTACGCTAGTAGTTTTAGCCTGGCTTTTGTAGTGGCTGTAGTCGTAGCATTAGCTCCAACTTTGAACCGAATGCTGAACCCGTTTCTGAAAACCGCATTGAATTTTGTATCCCAGCTGGAGGCCCAAACTGGAATATAGAAGGTGAGACAGCATCCCATGTAGTGCCATAGGACCATGACCACTCCTCCAGGAATGACCCATGCGTCAGTGGTGCACCAAACATGCCATCTCTCAGTAGCAGCAGTCCACTCATTTTAACGACTATCTTTTACCATTCAGTGGGTCATATGGCGCTGTAGGGGCCTGAGTTTTGCATCCTTCTGGAATGAGCAGAAACATCGCAGTGATCGACCCGAGGCATACCATTCTGAGTACTCATGTTCACAGCTGCAAACAGATATCGTGTGTATCTTGTGTCGTCATGCTAGACTAATGTTATACTATGAACACATGCTCCGCTTTCTAACATACTATATTACTGGGTTATATGCTGTGAAGAAGATACTGAAAAAATGGAGTAGATAAAGACACTCCCATCTTGAGTGAATGATTGTTGGTGGTCAGAGGGGTCATTAATAACAATAAAAATGCGTTAGTCTTATAAAGCTCAAAGTGGCTTTCATTTGGTGTATTATTCATTCACTCTGCACTCAAAGGTGGTATGCTATTGTAGCCAAAGCTGCTCGGGCCAATCTGCACCGTCAGCCCCTCCAACCACTACCAACAATCACTCACACAACACATTCATTCTGTGGGTGAAGTGTCTTGCCTAAGGACACAAAAACAAAACAATTGAAGGGTACTACAGAATAGTATTTACAACAAAGTAGGTATGGGTAAGTCACATCAGATTATCGATAATGGTCAGTATATGCTATTGATGGCATTAGTTAAAAATATTGTGTATATGGATGTGTGTGTGCATGGGGGAGTGCCTTGAAAGTAGATAGGAATTATTTTGTAGTAGTAGAAGAAGTACACAATGTTCTCCATAGGTATACTTTGTTGACTGACCATCTTGGGAAAAAATAAACTTACCGTATATGTAGGTTTAAAAGTGCACAGTACAACTTTTCTGGTGGGAGGTTGTCACCTGCTTGTCTCTATGGACATCTAAATACTTAAATTGGCATGTTCCACAGTATGGAGTTACACTAATCTATCTTGCATAATCAATTACAGGTGATTTTAGTATTAAAAAAAGCCTTGAAAAACACATATCCTCTCAACATGTCTGACTTGTAACTTGGCCTGGTGGCATCTACATGGAGTTAGATTAGTGTATTGCCATACTGTGGCACAGTAGGTGGGTAGAGGAGCCAACATAATAAAATAGTTTCTTCAAAATAATATTACTCAAATAAATATAAGGTAGTGGTCCAAGAAATTATTCAAGCAATAGTAAAACAGTATTTGGGAAAATTACTACTGAAGTAAGAGTAACTAACAAGAGTAACTGTTAGGACGTAACATCTGATTTATAACTTAGAAATGTAACAATGTAACTGGGACGAAACATTAAATAATGCACAAAATCTGGTGCAGTATTTTCAAAAGACAGACACAAAAAATGAGACAAACTAAATCAAATGAAGGAGCGGAATATATATATATATATATATATATTATATATATATATATATATATATATATATATATATATATATATATATATATATATATATATATATATATATATATATATATATATATATATATATATAATTCAAGAAGGAGTATGTTGCTAGAAAAATACTCTGAACTCTGTACAAAGTACAATTTCTTTAAAAACTCAAGTAAATGTAACTAAGATCTACCCACCTCTGCATCCAAGGCAAATAGATCTCCACAGAACATTTGTGGAGACAAGCAGGTACTGAATGTCCACCTGACAAGTTCTATATTGCACCTCTAAAGGTTCTATATTACACAAAACGTACTCCTATGAGCTTTAAGCCATTTTAGAGTGTTGTTACCACATCAGAAACATACCTGAAATTATGTATTGTTTCTCTCACACATATTTAAGTAATCCTGCATTTTTAGCCTCTCTTCATCTCTCAAAACTCAAAATGCTCTGTTCTACCTTGAGATGGATGTGAGAAAGCAGTAATTTTCAAGTTTACAGCTACCCTTCACTTTTAGTTTAGCAGAGGTTGGAAATTCCAGGGCTGAAATAATCCAAATGATTTTAGTGTATGGAGTTTAAAAACACAGTAGAGCACTTTGCATGGCATCACAAGGTAGAACTGAATGTTTTCCATTTGAGAGAAGAACTCAGCCTTAATATGCAGGATGTGTGTGTTAAATGTGTGATTGAAACAAAACACAACTCCATGTATGTTTCTGATGAGGAAACAACATTATAGCACAGATCAGAAAAAAATATTTGTGTATCTAACTCTCATGGGGCAAGTCCAATCCACAGCATTTTGTTTATTCAGTCAACTATGAAAAACAATGCTACAAAGTGTAAGTGTTTCAGAGCTCCAGGTTTGGGTGTGTCCAAATCAGCAACTCCACTCACCACAATGAAGTGCATGTACCAGAGCATGTGACTGAACAGGCTTTCAATGTCCATGTCCACTCACTGTCCACTATCTCCAGGAGGTAGAGAGGAGAGGGGGCTGCATGACTCCTCTCTGACCCAGAAGGTGAAAGATGTGGGTACTGTGAATACTACTGCGTCTAATATGTGTTTCTGTGTGTAGCTTACCATCTGAGGAGGGAGGACACGGACTGGTTTGATAAGCCCAGAGAGGGACATCCGCAGAGTGGGCACGTGGACAGGAGACAGGTGACATTTTGGGGTTCTCAAACATGAGCTTCTGGTTGTTCAAACTGACAAAATATAAAAAGAACAACAACAAAAAAGATGATGGAAGGTGACAAAGTAAAAGTAGTAAAGTGCATTGTGTAACTTTTCTAGTGGAGGGTCCATCAAATGCTTTTCCTCCATGAACATGTTATTACTTTTTCTGGAATGTTTCACAGTATGGTATTAAATCTTTCTAAAACCAAATCAAGTTATCAATCAAGTTCAAGATCTCTGGAGATGCACCCTCACTTAGTCGTAATGTCTGTTTTTCTAGGCAATTTTGAGCCATAAAACCACCTGTAAATGAATAACTTTAAAGTAGAGCTGTTTAATGTCATACTGTGGAACATTCCAGGCAGAGCACTGACATATTCATAGAAACAAGCAAGTCACTGACCCTCCAATGAAAAAGTTACATAGTGCATCTTTATGTATACATTTTAGGTATCTGTACTTTACTAGATTTGAAATGTCAAAATGTTTTACTTTCACTACATTTGAGAGCAGATATCTGTACTTTCTACTCATTAAGTCTTTTTTTTTTTTTTTTTATTGCGTGAGACCTGTTGAAAAGGCTGAGAGGTTTATTTTTAATTTATCGTTTGAGCAAACAAAAATATCTTTAAAAAATGACTGATTCAATTGTTTCTACTGAACAAAATACAAAGCACAAATCTTTAGAATAATCTTTAAAATCAATACATTTGAAGCTTTATGAGACCTCAAAATATGGTTAAAATATGCTCAAAATACTTTTTACTCTGGCAGTACATTTTATAAGGGTACTTTAATACTTAGTAATACTTAATTAGATTTTCCATGTGATACTTTTATTTTTACTTGAGTATTTTTTATAAAATCAAATCTTTACATATATATATATATGTTTGTTTTTGTTTGTTTTTTTAAAATACATGGTTTATATTTTGGTTTATTTGCAATGACATTGAAGTTTTAGATTTGTTTAGTGTGAATATAATGGCAATAAAAAAACAAACTTCAGTAGAATCAGTACCAACTGATATTGCAATACTTACAAGCAGTTTTTCCCTTTAACATATTCCATTTGTTTGCAGATGAAACTGGTGCCATATGCCTTCCCACACGCTCGCATTAAGCTCCAAAGAGACCAGAGGGACTGCAGCGTCTCAGGTACTGCTCCACTCCACATTTAAATACTATATAAAGTGTAGTAGTCTGCAAGTACCTGTGTTTGTACAGGGAACGGCCTGGGCATCCGTGTGGTGGGCGGAAAGGAGATCCCAGGCAGCAGAGGGGAGATCGGAGCCTACATCGCAGCAGTCATCCCTGGAGGAGCGGCCGAGCAGACAGGCAAAGTCATAGAGGGTAAGTGATGAGGGAGGAATTGTGGTCTTAAAAATATGCACATTTAGAATTGAGAACATTGTCTGATAAGAAACTAGACTCTTGAAAACTTTTACAGGCACATTTCTAATGAATTTGTGAAATATTATAATGGATATTACTGTAATAACAATGAAAAAGTAAATAAATACAGATAAAAGAACATACCATCCTCAGTGAATAATCTACAAATAAAATATTCACATTTAAAGCCCTAGCATGTAACGTTTTAGTCAAAAAATAGACAGAAATAAAAACATGCTTTTAATTTTGGTTGTTTATATACTGCATAGAAAAAAGGCATGCATCCTACTGAGGTGGTTTACATCTCCACAAACCTGACTCTTATTTGGCCTGGAGGAGGGCTTTCTAATATTTGTTTCCATGGAAATGTTGTTCCTTTGACTGTAATATTTTAAAGTGGCTCACACCAGATTGATATGTGTGTCACTCTGAATTGAGTTCTACTCATTATTAATCTGGGATGGCTTTCGCTGAAAGCGATAAAAAAATGTGGAGTGTCATGACAAATATTTTAATCTGATTGGTCGAAGTGTCACAACAGTGGAACAAGCTGAAAAATGTAAATTTTGTTACAAGATGGATTTTCGTGAGTTTGGGAACTCACAAATATTGCAAGAAGCCATCTTGCTGTGCAAGGTTAATAATATTTCACAATATGGCATAAATATTAGAGAAGGATAAAGTATGGTTTTAAGTTTCCATTTCCATGGGATCATGCACCACCAGAAAGTTACATACTGTAGCTTTAAATAGGCTATAATTTAATGTAAAAGAGTAGCAAACATATTTGGTAAAAACCCAACAGCCCGGCCTCTTATGTTTTACAAGGTTATGGGGAAAGTTAAAAGTAAAGGACAATTATCTATCTGTAGGTAGAGTATGTTTAGAATTTCCCACAGGTTAGCTTTAGTTTCCATACAGAGGGCAAATATTGTATCTAACCTTCACTGGTTTGTGAGTGGCAGCTGTAGCCTCGTTTCTTGCATCTTGTGTCATGTTTTGTTCCCTGATGCGTCTCATTCAAACAGTGAAGAGACTGTCATCTCAGTCATCCTCACGTGAGCGCTCGGGGTTAGTCATCGGGCTATACTTAGCACTACACACACATGCACACACACATGCACACACACATGCACACACACATGCACACACACATGCACACACAAACAAACACACACTAATGTTTGCTCAAATATGCATGCACTTATTGGAGAGGAAGGTGCGCTATTTTTTTCTTGAATAAGTGTTTACAATAAATACATTATGGAAATAATTATCCATGTATGTTAAAATGAGTTGAAATGGATATGTATATTCTTTTTTTAAGCAAAAAATCTCTAACTAACTAGAAATAAGAAAAAAAAATATTAAAAATAAAATAGAAGAGAAATAAATAATTATTAAAATTAAATCAAAATGCTCTATTCCACCTTGTGATGTAATTAATTTTTTATTTTTTTATTTTTTTCATATTAACAGCTAATTTTATATTTTACCTTTAGTTCAGTAGAGATAATTCCAGGGTAGACATTATGCAAATGGAGCACTTCACAAGTATATTCTGTAACTCAGCCTAAATATGCTGGGTTTGTGTGTTAAACGTGTGAATGAAACAAAACACAACTCCAGGTATGTTTGTGAAGAGGAAAAAACAATATAACATATCTTAAAACTCACAGGAGTCAATTTTGCATAGGACCTTCACCAAGGCTCTGTTCGAAATTAATGAAAAGCGTCCTAGTTGAATTGCTGAGTGAGTCATATAATGCATTGTGTGTTTGTGATGAAGCAGCAGTGGAACATGCCTGCAGGTGAAACACATATTATACTGAGTAATATGGCGGCGGTCAGAGTAAATAGACCAAGCAGCCTAGTGGTGAGTAAAATGGAAATGACTACAGCTCATATAGAATGGTATGGATGTATTAAGTATATTGTGCCTGTGCCTGGTGAGCTGAGAGCCACACCAGCATATGGGAGGCTGCTATAGACGAAGGGAGGTCCTTTATTAAGTTGCTGCTATTCAGTTGTAAATTTGACTTTGCAATTCTTTTTTCAGAATATACAGTAACACTATAATTGCTACACTATTTACAGCCTGAACAAAGCATGAAAAAATACTTAATTCATAATGAACACATACAATTTACTCTTGTGAACTTTAAGTCATGTTAGAATGTAGGGATGTAACAATAATTGTGATATCGTATCATCAAGGTTCTCACAAAAATATCGTGGACCATCACAATATATCGAATTACAACTGTCTTTGCTTAAATTAAGAGTTATGGTGCAGCAATAACTAAAAAGTCAGTGGGAACTACACAGACCGTGATCCTTTGCTCCATTTCAGTGTAGACTACAAGAAGAAATAACAGTTCTAAGCACTTTTAAGTCTTAGTTCTTTGGATTAAGTCTAATCAAGGCATTTTAAGAGGAAAAAGTAGCATATTAACCGTTTTAGCTGTTTAGCCTCCACAAAATATCGCAATAAATGTCATGCTGTGAGGTTCATACTGGGACAGTATAGTATCGTGAGACTTGGATATCGTTACACCCCTATTAGAATGTACAGTAGCTACCTCCTCAAAAACAAACCTGGAGTTATGTTTTGTTTCATTCACACATGTTTGAATAACCTTACATTATTAGTCTGTCTACATCTCCAAAGCTGAAAATGCTCTGTTCCACCTTGTGATGTCATAAAGTGGTAGTTTTCAAGTTAGCTGCTACCTTTTCCTTAATAGAGATTGGAAATTTTAGGGCTAAAATTATTCAAATGATTCCAGTGAAAGTGTATGGAGTTCAAAACCCAGTGGATCTGAAAATATTTGGGTTCTTGGGCAAGCATCTCTAGCAATTAAACTCTCTGTTTATTTGACCGTGTATCACAAAAAGAATATATTAATAATGATAATTCTCTTTTAAATCATAACTGTATAACTGTATAAATGGGAGATTGAAACATATATTATTGTAACTGTAGTAGTAGTAGTAGTAGTAGTAGTAATAGTAGTAGTAATAGTAGCAGCAATAATCCAAAAGTTTGTGCAGTCAGCAAATTATGTTAATCCATGCTAACTTTTTGGCAGTGTTCTGTGTGATAATCCTGACTCATTTGTTACACTCACATATTGGCCATATCCTCCATGTCTTTAGGCATGCAGGTGCTGGAGTGGAACAGCCTCCCGCTGACAGGAAAGACCTACGAGGAGGTGCAATGCATCGTGGGTCAGCCGTGTGCCGAGGCGGAGCTCTGCGTGCGCCTGTGAGTTACATCTGTCACCATTTATATTCTCCAACACGCTGTCCCCCCGAAGTGTTTAGCAGCAATATGTCAAATCTCTCCTCTGCTCCACCGCTCCACGCCTACATGCTGTCAGTGTAATGATGGCTGCCTGTACAGAAGAATGTGTTCTTTTATATGTCATAATCTCAGATAGAAAGTATGGGCAGGATTAAAGGGAATCATTGTTATTGGTAAAAGAAGAATCCAGAAATATCACTAGTGTTGAACCTGATTCTTTGTTCATGTATAGTTTCAAATAAAGGAGCACTGTGTCTGGGGTTCTCAAATTCTTCTAGTCCAGGGATGAAAAGATGATTCTGAATTGCAAACCATGTTTATAACTAAACTTGAATCTTTATTTTATTGGTGAAGTTCTTCATCAACAACTGTATGTTTGGGATTATATATCAGAAATAGTAGTAGGTAATGATCAATGTTATCACAATTTTTGGAGGGCCTCATCATATGGCTCAGGGACCCCAAGGGGTACCTGGACCCCACTTTAAGAACTACTGCATTATAGAACTTTTCTGATGGATGGAACAACATCTGTATGAGTTCCTGAAGATATGATTTGCCTGGAACATTTCACAGTATGATATACATATCTCCTTTGAGACAAATAGATATGTTATGTTCATTGCCAAACTCTGGAATATTCCTGAGAAGGCAGCATCTGTTTCTAGTGGTAGGTCCTGACTCACTTGTGTCCATCAAGATACAACTTTGCTGGAAATGTTTCTCAGTGTGACATTAAATTCCATCTTGTATTCAGTGAATTAAAGATGTTTTTTATGCTTAGAATATCTCGTAAAACATGATTTCTTACTGTGAATATGACTTGAGATAAGTTTAATGTTATATTGTGTAACATTCCCTGGACACAAGCAAGTGTCTGACCCCACACCGGAAAAGTTACATAGAGCACCTTTAATAACAAGAGGCATATTGACATTTTAACAGCATTATTGTATCATAGCATTTTGATCTGCCTTCTACCTTGCCAACTCTTCTTCAGCAGCTCTCTCTCTTTTCTCTGTAATGATGGCTCCTCATTTACATGGATAGTAATACACTTTCCTCTTCTGCTCTCAACAGTGACCTGAACATGCTGTCTGACCCCGATCACCCACAAGTGTTGGAGCACCAGCTTAAATCAAGTATGTATGAGAAATTGCACTATACACAATATCTGAATTTGGAAAGTTCAAGATTTTTCTGACCTGTTTTATAATGATTTATTCTTAATTTGCTATTGAAATAGGATTTGTTTCATAGGTTTATAAAGTAGCACCGATTGTGCTACTTTAGTCCTGGTTCAGAGCCAGTATTGCTTTGCTTTGGCCAAAGGTAGTCCTCATCTTTTTCTGCTTTTGTGGTTAAAACCTGGGGAGACAAGACACCATCCCATGTTTATTCCAGGTTTAGAACTTATAAAATATATTCAAAACAAGGACATTATTTTGATCTGTTGTTTAAATACATGTTAAAATAGGTGTGCAGGTTTCAAATGAAGACTGAATTCTTATTATACTTATTATAACTTATAGCAATAATTAATTTGTCATTATGTTTTCATGTAAACACACTACCTCTTGTCGCCTGTAGGTGGCCAGCGCTCCCCGGGTGTTGACCCAAAGCAGTTGGCGGCGGAGCTCCAGAAGGTGTCCCAGCAGCAGGGTCCTGGGATGATGGGAGCACCCATGGGTCCTGGGGGTTTGGGGGTGCTCTCAGCTTTAGAACGCTCCGCCCTGCTCCAGTCTGGTCCAGGGTCAGCCGCCTCCAGTGGGGTACCCAGCCCGGGCCAGCCTGCCTCTCCTGCCATCAACAAGAAACAGAGGCACAAGGTAAGAATGCAGACCTGTAATAGTGTGGAAAGGCTGGATTTACTTTTACTATTGGTAGGACTACAGAATTTACAAAAGAAATCAAACCACAATTGTGCTAAGAATGGGTTTACACAATTGGTGGTTTCTGAAGACATCACGACATTCTATAGGTCAATACTCTTTAATACAGCCAAAATTAATCATGCTAAAATGCAGATTTTTGTTGTAATACAGTGAGTTCTTGGCTCTAGTCCACAAATGATATGATCTGATATGAAATGATATGTTCAGCATTTCTGAATTTACCTTTTGAATATTTCATGCCAAAATACAATGTAATCAAAAGGTAAATCTGTTTCTTGCCCCCGTCTGAGAGTACAACATCATCACATTCAAGAATCTGAAAACCACCAACTCATACTGTGCAGCTTCTTTTCCCACAGTCTCACACATAAAAGTAGACACAAGCTAGTTAGCATTAGCCAGCAGTCAAACTCCTAAACAAAATATGTTGTTTAAATCAATTTAGAAGTTTTCACACTATCTTAAAACTGTTTTGACTGTTTGCTAATGTATGCACCAAGAATCAATACACACCTTTACCGCTAAGTGCTGCCTACATCTAATTAGAAAGTGTTTTATTACCCGAGAAACAATCCACCGTTAGCATCTGAGTAAGGTGACCAGAATTTCTAAATCAAAAACAGTGACACTCTTGGCTTGAGTTGGTAATAGTAATAACAAAATTGTGAAACAGATATGTAAGGAAAATTGTTTTGCACTTGGTGAGTCAGTATAGTCACATTTTCTTTGTGTTTTGGTCATTTTTAAGCAGCTTTTTCTGTATTCTACCAAAGCAAGTGACAATTTATGCCTCTCTTTACTGTTGGCAGGGATCAGATTGGTCAAAAATAGGGACACCAGGGACATATCTTATATAAAACTAGGACAAATCACTAGTTTTGGATAAATCTGCAGGGACAAGGGACACAAGGCTTAAAATTAGGACTGTCCCGGGTAAATAGGGACGTCTGGTCACCCTACATGCGAGTTGTTATTAGCTTTAGCGTCAAGCAAAACTCCACTCTGGTCTCTAAAAGTTGTGGAAAGTCATTGTGGTGAATAATTACAATGTTTGAAATGCATAAAGTGGGTAAAAACAACTTTGGACCACTACAAACCTTTTAAAATGTATTTGTTTAAGACAGTAAAAAACAGGTACTGGGCCTTTGATTGCATTGTATAGTTATTCCACTGCAAAATAGAGTATACTGTAATAAAAAAAAAAAAACAAAAAAAACACTATTATTATTAAGCTTGATACCTGTTAGCTTGTTGACAGTGGTTCACATAAGGTAGCAGGATGGATCACGGCTTGATGGCTGGAGCAGACATGCCTCTCCCTGGTGTCATTTGTCTTCCACGATGCCTGTGTTCCATCAGACTCTTATTACATCACACAAAATGGAGGTGGGATGTCAAGGTCAAAGCGTGAGTACAGCTCTGGGTGCTCATCGCTCAATCATGGACACAAAAGGACACAAAAACATGCCTGATTACGGACTGGGCTCACATTACATTATTTTCTGATATAATGTTGTTTCTTCATCAAATATATACCTAAAGTTTAGATTTGTTTAATTCACACATGTTTAACTCAGAAGTCCTGCATATTTAGGCTGAGTTCTTCTCTCAAACTGAAAATACTCCACCTTGTGATGTCAGGCGGTAATACATCAAGAGCTCCACTGTGTTTTTAAACTCTATACACTCTCACTAGAATCTTTTGGATAATTTCAGATCTGGAATTTCCAATATCTACTAAAGCTGTTAACTTGAAAACTACCACTTCATGACATCACAAGATGGAACAGCATTTTGAGCTTTTAGATGTAGACAGACTAATAATAAAGAGTTACTCAAACATGTGTGAATACAACAAAGCACATTTCCAGGTATGTTGTTGAAGATGTAACAATATCTAACATGGTCTGAAGCTCACAAGAGTCAGTTTTATGTAATATAGGCCTTTTAAAAAAATAATATACCTTTAATTTAAACAAGTTGTAGAGGTCCAAAGTTATTCTTCACTTTTCTTGCATGTATTTTTAGCATTTTAATAACTCATCATGATGAGTTTACATGCGCTTTTCCCAAATGCAATTTTTGCCGACACAGTAATGCTAACAACAACTAGCATGCTAATAGCATACTTCCTTCTTAGACAATAAAACGCTTTATAATGATAATGTTATATAAGGTGAAATTCGTCTTGCACCAGTACAGATATGTTGCAGAAGCAGCTCTTGAGATCTCTGTGCGGTCTGCATCTACTTAGAAAGTGTTTTATTGCATAATCAGGAAGTGTGCTGTTATCATGGTAATGGCTGCTAACCATCCCATTACGTTAACTCCGCTCTGGGCTCTTGTGAGAGTTGTGAAAAGCTCTTTTAAACTCATCAGGGGGAATAATTAGGATGATCAGAATGCATACGGTAAGTGAGGAATAAGTTTAGACCACTGCAAACTGTTTAAAATAAACTAGTTCTGTTTTTCTCATTTTTAAGACAGTAAAACTCAGGTACAGCACCTTTAAATGCAGACAGTACACCACCACTGTTTCATTTGGACCCACTCATATCTGTACTGGAAAATGACAAATTTTACTCAAATACATGGAATAAAATCGGGTACAGCCACTTTAACATAATGAAATAGTTAGATAGCACATTTAATATACATGTCTTAACAAAAAGCCATTGAATCGATTGAAATGATTATCTGCGGTTCTTTTTTATTCTAAAGAAGAAGCTATTTCCATGTCCGGCTGTGTCAAATAGCCAATTAACCTTCTTAAACTTCACCAGTGACTTTCCCGAGCGATTACATTTCTCATAATGTTAGATATAGGCCCATCTATGAAAATGACTTGGCATTTTCAGAAAGACAAGATGAAAAAGGCAGTATTACGCTGTTATATGCAGGTTTTTGTCATCATTTTATACTGTTGTGTTGTTGCTATCAAGCATCTTTATTCTGTATGCCTCTCCAGTGCAGAAAATGCCCACATAGCGATGTTACGAGGTGGGGCCCCTACAACTTAAAAGGCTGTGCACTGATCATCGGTGTGCTCAAACTGTCTTCAGTAGGATGCTTTGAGTGCCCCCTCCTTTCCATTCACAGCACTATCACAACCTAACACATAGACTATATAAAGAATCATCAAAGGAGTGTGACGTCACGAGGCAAGTGGCTATAGGGGTGAATTTGAAGTTGAGTTCCATATTATAGCAACTTATTTATGGACATAATAGCGAAATACAAACACCAAGACCATGTAAAGTAGGTTAATACAAATAATACACACATACAAGCAGTTATTAGATATTTAGTTTAGTTAGATATTTCAATGTAAAGTCAGTTGGAGCCAGAGTCGATGGAGTCAGAAGTGCCGCGATGCCACTTCCCATCTGAAACATGTGGCAGTGGGCTAAATATGTCCATTTATATTTGTACTAATCTTCAAAGCTTGTTCAAAATGAGAGCAAGAACTCAATTTTAGAGGGTATGGAAATTTCAAACTGCCCAATGTTCAAACTACCTGTAAAAGTTTGTATGGTGTAAAACTCTAGAACAGTCTGGATAAACATCTCAAATAATGCCAAAATATCCATAAATTCAAGTTGTTATATAAACATATCGTCTGGTCACAGTATATAGAGAGTGGGTTTTAATATTAGAACAATACTGCCTCTGTAGTGCTTATTTATGCTTGTCGTTTCCTCTTTCTTGTATCTGTTGTCTGTTGGTATGCTTATGTATTGTTACAATATGGCAATATGATGAAGTTATGTTACTGAGCTATAGCAGTTACTCATTGTCCGCATTTGTTAGTGGTTCATATAGTTTGATATATAATGGCTGAAAAATGCAAAAGAAAACTCATGTTAAATTAGAAGAGGGGGGTGGGATTAAATAAATTTTCTTCTTTACACTCCTTTTTGGGCTTTTTTTTATTTTGAACATCTTGCCCAAAATAAATACATAGATAAAAAAAAAAATAATAATAATAATAATATATGTGGTCTATGATCAGAACACATTCCTTTTAATGAAGCTACTGCACGTGATTGTGGCAGTTTTGTGTATTGTTTTTATCCTGTTTTTGTATATTCATGATGGGAATATATAATATATTTCTGAACAACTTTGAGTAACTTGATAAACCTGATGTGATGTGCAGTAATTTCATTAGTGGGCGACTCAATGATTGTGTTTTATTGTGCTCTGAAGCAGGAGTGACTTAGCACAAGGAGCAAAGGGAGGGGAAACTCAGAGCATCAAAAAACGTAAAACTTATAAAACATCTTAATACAGTGTTTTCAGCTAATACAGCATTTTCAAAACATTTCAGGTAACATGGAGATCTAAATACATTAGATTAGCAATTAATAAACCCATGGAAATCAAATGCCTCTCTTTAAGTCTATGCTTGTTCAGTATTATTGGTCTCAACATATTTTTTTTATTAACCTTTCTAGACTGAAGTCCCCAGAACACCTCACCCCATCACCGGCGAGATCCAGGTAAAAACAAAATACAAAATTCAATCTCCGGTCACGCCATCTTGTCTGACACACTGCCCTGTCTGTCTGTCTGTCACTGCTGCGTTCTTTTAGCTCCAAATCAACTATGACAGGAACCTGGGTAACTTGATAGTCCACGTACTCCAGGCCAGGAACCTCGCCCCCCGGGACAATGACGGCTACTCCGACCCCTTCGTCAAAGTCTACCTGCTCCCGGGACGAGGGTGAGAGCCTGATGCATGTGTGTGTGCGTGCGCGCGCAGCAAAACTACAATAATGACATGAGTTGAAATGACTTGAATTCAAAGTATTTTATTTGAGTGGTTTTGATGAGTTTGATTGTTTGATTTGAATAACATACAGTACTAAAAAAAGAAAATGCAGTGAAATGTGGACTTATTACATTTTTTAAAAATCCAATATATATACTAAAAATTATTGTATAGGTTTATTTAACATAATATTTAAGTCACTTTTTTGGCTAGATTTGAGTTTTTAATGTAGTTATTTATTCTTTTTTTTTTTTTTTTTTTCAAATGGCAAATTATGAGAATTTTTGTGTGTAGCATCTGCCGTGTGATGTTGTATTGCTTTGCCTCAGATGTTCCTCAGTATGGCATTAAATGTTTCTACCTAGCATTTATTCAATTACATTTGTTTTTATTGCAAAATAGTGAGATCTTCTAATTGTCTCCTTGGAGATAGCTAAGTTTAATGCCATACTGTGGAGCATTTCAAGCAAAGTACTATCTTCCAGCAGACCCTTCACCTGAAAAGTTACACTTTTAAATGTTGGTCCTCGTAGAAATAGGAACAAAACTGTTAAAGTGGGCCTGTTATGCAAACCCCAAAATTGTATATGAGTGATTCATGCATGTTTGAGCAATCGTTAATCGTGCCATTAAGCTGCTCAACATCCGTTTTTTCAGCGCTACAGATGTACTACCCCACTTCCTTATACTTACCGTAAAATTCCAAATAATAGCTGGGATGTTTATTTGTTTCAATCACAGACCAGGCATTTATTTGAGACCAGGCAGCAATTTGGAGCAGGCGATTAATTCCTTCCTCACAAAAATCTTGCTCAGCAAAACTGGGAAAATATGGTAATCAAATCCTCTTAACCAGTATGACTATAATTTACAGTTTTTATGGCACTCGGCCTCGGAGGAGGCGTCACCATTATACGATGGCCTGGCGACTACTTTGCCTACCTTGTTGGCACGAATCTTGCCGCCTTGCCTTTCCTCGCCGCTTTGCCACAACTTTCCTCTTACACCACAACAGCTACAGTGACATTGCCGGCTTCCTCTGAATTGCCAAACTGAAGTAATATTACCAAAACTCTTAAAAACTGGTTCCATTTCTTGCCCACTATGTTGCGCCATCTTTCTTTTTTACATCACTTCGAAATAGGGTTTTCACAGCAACGTCATCTGTTCCACTTTTTTTAGTGAAGACAAGGGTAATCGGATGCAGAATATATAGCCTATCCATTCCGAATCACACAACCGGTCTCATAAAGGCGGGACTGAACTGAAGTCAAACTGCTACTATGTAGACTGTAAACATCACGCTCTCTGTGGTGTCGCTGCTTACTAATCATGATATCTTTGTTAAATAAAGCACAAAAAACAGGAAATGGGAGTTTGAGCAGCGTCCTCGGCAGCAGCTAGAACGACTGCTGGGGGTGTTGGCATAGACTACTTTCTATACAGACTCTGCATTTATTTAGCACCGGCAGTTATTTATCAAAATATACACCTGCACCCAGCATTTAAAGGGGACCCAGAAGTTAATTGAAACCCTGCTATTTTGTGGTATTTTAAGATACTTACTTACTTTTGTACTTAATTTTATTTTTATATTCAGTGGTACATGTAGGATTCAGCAGCGTTGCATAGTCATCATGGTATTTTTTATTTATTTATTTTTTTTAATGACTATGTATATCACTAATTCAAAAAATATAAATTGGGTGAAAATAGGAATTGATCTGCAAAATGGAGTCTTGAAAATAAGTCACTAAAGACCTCAAACATGCAGGAATGACTCAAAATACAACTTTGGATGAGTAAATGGTAAGGGGAAACAACTATACGATGATTTAAATCTCTGAAAAGTCGATTTTGCATTATAGGTCTGCTTTAAGTTGAGTGGATCAAATCAGTAAATATTTTTAATTGCACTAAAGCCTTTCAGTTTTAGCGGATAAACACTTCATTTTGTCCCTAGGGAACCGTATTAAATCAAGTCCAGTAATTTAGCACCATTACCTAAATAACTCAAGTCAAAACAACTCAAAAGCTGACATGGTGAATTCAAGTGGTCTTAACTCATCTGTGCTGACGTCTGCTCTGTGTGTGGCTCTCTGCTGCTGTCTGTCTGTCTCGTCTCCTCAGCTTCTATCTGACCTCCCTTATGCCAGTGCTGGTGAAAGATGTGAAGGATGTGGTAGGGGATAGACCAGGGGTAAAGCAAAGAGGGGGAGTGTGGTTATGGACAGGCTGGTGACCTACAGAGCAAGGACAAAATGGAGACATAAATCGTGAAAGTGACAGTATTGAGGTTGCAGTATAAAATTGATTGTGGTATTATAGGAGGCTGGCAATCAGGATTATGGCTACAAAGGGTTAAAGAAGAGTTGTTTTCTCACTAGAGGCACTAGCAAAGAGCAAGGGATCATGGTCAATGTAGTCTTTTAATGTATTTTAGTCACATTAACCCTGCATATTTAGGCTTGAGTTCTTGCAAACAGAAAACACTCTGTTCCACCATGTGATGCTATGAGCCAATACATGACCTTCCCTAGAATCATTTGGATAATTTCAGCCCTGGAATTGCTGCTATTGATGAAAAGGTAAAAGTAGCTGTCAAAATGACCAGTTTATGACTTCATGAGCTTGGAGTTGTAGCCAGACTAGCAATGAAGGGTTACTCGAAAATGTGTGATTGAAACAAAAAACAACTCCAGGTATGTTTTTGAGGAGGAAACATTATAACATGGCTTAAAGCTCACAAGAGTCAATTTTTTGTAATATAGGACCTTTTACTTATTCTTACTACAATGCCTCTGAAATGTTTTTGAGGCCACAATATTGAGTAATTCTCTAATTAAAGGGACAGTCTGGGATTTTGGACATAGGATCTCATTTCCTAGTGAGTCAGAGTGTTGAAGACATGTGGAGACACTTTTTAAAATATTCCATCCAGTCCTTGTAGTTGCAGAGGTTGCTGGTGCTAGGCTAGTGCATGTCAATGGCCATAGATAGCCACTAAAAACAGTCTTACCCACTCCACAAAGCACCTGAAGCAAATCTATTATTACACCAGACTATCAGTGTGAATGTATGTGTTGATAGAATAACGTCTGAAATAAAACTAACCTTGCATCGCATGAATCGTCGCATGTTGAGGGACTATTTTCTCAGCAGCTGCGGAATTTTACTTTGCCGGTAAGATAGGTGCTAGGTGATATCAATCCACCGCTGTCAAGCTTTCTATCAGGAAGTACAACTCGCTGCTGCTGCTCAGACATAAATCCTTCAAATGCAAGGTTGGTTTTACTTCTAAAATGATTCTATCAACACTGACATTTACATCGACAGTCTGATGTTATAATAGTTTTACTTCAGGTGTTTTGTGGAGTGGGTAAGACTGTTTATAGTGGGAGGCTAACTATGGCCATTGACATGCACTAGCCTAGCACCAGCGACCTCTGCAAATACAAGGACTGGATGGAATATTTTAAGATGTGTCTCCACACATCTCCAACACTCTGGCTCACTAGGAAATGAGGTCCTATGTCCAAAATTCCGGACTGTCCCTCTAATGCAGATCTCTAGGGTCAAAAGCAGACCTAGCCCTTCCATTGTTTCTACAAGTTTCAACATATGCATTCTAACGGCTGATACCATTCCATATGTTGTAGTGCATTTTCAATGGGAGAGTTAACATTAGCCTCTGAACATCACAAACTATGAAAAACCAGAGTAATAAAGATTTTCTTCAATCTAACATCATGCTTGACAATAAAATGTTTGTCTCATTTCATCAAGCAACACAAACCCTTACCCTGCTTACATGAGTGAACTTTAGAAAATTGAGCTGGAAGTTAGATATTGACTCATAATACTCATTGGCAAATATGACATATGACCTATACACAAGAGCCATTTGTTGTTGTTTATAGGTCAAGATGTCAAAAATAATGTTCATTCTGCAGCCTCATTAAAGTGAATGGAACAGAATGTCCAATATTACACAGAATTGATTCTTGTGAGTTTTAAGCCATGTTATAATATTGTTACTTCATCAAAAAGACCTGGAGTTTTGTTTTGTTTCATTCACACATGTCTGAGTAATCCTGGTTTATTAGTCTGTCTTCATCAGTTCAAAATGCTTGTGATGTTATGTAGTGGTAGTTTTCAAGTTAACATCTACCTTTTATCTTTAGTTCAGTAGAGATTGGCAATTCCAGGGCTGAAATCATCCAAATGGTTCTTGTGAAGTTGCATGGAGTTTAAAAGCACAGTATTACCACATGACAAAAGGTGGTGACTTTTTCAATTTGAGAAAAGAACTCTGCCTAAATATGCTATGAGGTTGTACGTTAAACATGTGTGAATGAAACAAAACACAACTCCAGGTACGTTTTTGATGAGGAAAAAACACTATAGCATAGATCAGAAAATAGTAGCATATCAGTACGAGCCCAAGTGCAGAATTATTCTAAATATCCTTCCAAAAACAGGGTCAAGATTTTCACATTTTAAAAGGGCATAGAAATGGTAGTGTGCACTGACATCTCAAACAATGATTTATTTTTTGCCTTGAACCAGCTCTCTCTCACATACAGTATTGTCCAAAGTAGTTTTCCTGTGGCTCTGGCCCTGCTCCTGGCCTCTGCTCTGTTAATAGCTCACACAGGGATCGATACGCTGTTTATCGCTGCTGTAATCCTATCTGCACTTAGATAATGACCCATCAGACCTTCTCATGAGATTAGGCCCAAAGTCCAGCCTGCCCTTTGCTACTGAGGGTGGAGCAGGTTCTAGCGCCACCTACAGACCTCGTATATATTACACTGAGTTAATTATGTAGGTCTAAAACAGGACTGGAAAAGGAGTAGACCATATATGAATGCTACAAAGCTAAATTAGAAAGAATACAGCAATGGACTGAACAAATCAAGGTATGAAGTAGATCTAAATCAATAATAAACCAATGGGACTGGACACCAGGCCTGAACAGATTAAGGTTAAAGTGTATATGACAGGTTTTTATGTTTTTTCTAATTATGGTGGGATAGTACCTGTTGTAAGTATTTAACATACTTTTACATCAGTTAAGTGACAGTTTGTGGATAAAAAGCTGAAAATTAAAGTACAAAAATACAGGAAGCAGAGCAGAAGGGAAAGGATTACAAAAGTAAAAGTTGTTGCGGCACCAGGCCAACCCCATACAAGGTTGTAGAAGCCAGTACCGACATCACTAACCTGAAGGAAAAAACATTCCCAACCTAACCTTACCAAACAAAAGGCGAAAACAGGACAGCTGGTCCCACCAGGTCAAACACAAAAGGCTAACTGCAGCTAACAGGCATGGTGCAGCCTGCGCCGAGCAGCCAAGGCAAGGGAGCACGCAAGGTGACGCTCAGGTGCACGGAGGGCGAGGCGTTGTGTAGCGAGAACACAGGAGCAACAATGTCCAATCCATGTCAGAACCAAAGGATTTAACCAGGACTAGAACTGGACTAGAACAGGATCCATCCATCAGGACTAAAGCAGATTCATGGACCAAACTAGGACAAGAGTGAAGGCCCTCTAAAGTTAAAGGGTTAAAGGCTGATTTGAATTTCTCTTAAAATGTGAAAAACAGAACTAGTTTTAAATGGTTTGTAGTGGTCCAAAATTATTCCTCACTTACCTTATACATTACAAGCATCTTAATTATTCATTGTGATGACTTTATACTAAGCACTTTTCACAACTCTAAGCGACAAACCTACAACAACATGTATGCTAATGCAAAGTACACAGCAGACCTTTTATGACCTTGATCTGTTTATACAATATACAGCATCTGTACTAGGGCAAGACACATTTTGCTCAAATATATGAGAAAAAACTACAGGCCCTTTAACAGGGTCCCAACCAGGAGTAGTACATGTTTGTATGTTCAAATGTTTGAGAACTAAGAAGACTACTACACCAGGACTAAACCAGGACTAAACCAGAACTACACCAGGACTAAACCAGGAATAAACCAGAACTACACCAGGACTAAACCAGGAAGAAACCACAACTAAACCACAACTAACAAGGACTAAACCAGAACTAAACCAGATCTAAACCAATAGTACGCCCTTTCTCTTCTTAGGCTTTATTAGCAATACAGTGAGCGTGCTCCGTTGTTACATTTTCAAAGCCTGAATTATTTATCCCCCTTCGGCGACGTGCGATCACAGCAGCGTTTTTGGACTCGTGTCAGACGCATTTCTCTAGTGCTATAATCAGGCCTGAAAAGACTATTGATTGGCTCAGCTCTCAGCCCTTTACTCTGAGCTCCTCACGTCCACTGCAGGAATGACTGAGTAAACAAGAGAGGGCAAATCACCGCTTCAATCTGCAGGCTAAAATAAATATAATAATACAAAAAAGTAGACCGAAAATCAAGAAATGCCAGGTCCAAAACAGAACTAAACAGACTTGAACTATAGGATTATTGAAACCACTTCTAACCCAAAATTAACTTTGGGACTGTATGTAGTTTAGTCCTGATGTAGTTTTGGTTTGATCCTGTTTTCTAGTTGTAGTCTAATTTGTCTTTAGTGTGAGTGCAAGTGTGAAATCATCGTAAATCATGACTAAACCAGGGCTAAAGCATGCTCAGTTTAGGTCTAAATTAGGAATATACGAAGACTGAACACTTTTGCTATACTTATACTTGTCTCCACAAATTCTGATGGGTGTGATTGACAGGCGGATTAACCAATTGGAGAAAAGCATGGTCAGTGTCAAAATAAACATGCCATTTTACAAGTACAAAATATATATATATAACAACAGAGGACTGAGAAACAACTTAACACTAGACTCTTAGTGAGCTGAGGTATTTTGCACTGAATGACTGCATTTTGTCACATGCTGTGATTGGGCGGTTCTAAAATGTGACGGCTGTCGGGTTTGCTGTGTGTTTGGTCCTGTTCCAACTGAACAGAAAGCTTTAGGGACTGACTTGCCTTGCTAGCAATATACACTGTACACCGGGTCTAAACAAGGTCTAAATCAGGCCTAAAACAGGTTAAAACTAGTACTAAACCAAAACTAATCCAGAAGACTATGGTATGTAGTTACATGCCAGGCCACAGAAGCATATTGACTGGCTAATTCTAATATTTGTTGAGGTCATTCATCTAAGTGCACCTAAACCAGGCTGAAAACTAGGTTTTCATAAAGCTTAAATCAGGCCTACAGAATATCTGAACCTGTTCTAAAGCAGGGCTAAACAGGGTCTCCACTAGGTCTAATTCAATTCAATTAATAGCGGGTCTACAAAAGGTCTAAACCAGTTCTAAACCAGGTCAACCCCAATTCTAAACCAGTTCTACAATAGTTCTAAACTAGGTCAGCACCAGTTTTAAACCAGCTCTACACCAGTTCTAAACCAGTTCTACACCAGTTCTAAACCAGGTCTACACCAGTTCTAAACCAGGTCTACACCAGGTCTACACCAGTTCTAAACCAGTTCTACACCAGGTCTACAACAGTTCTAAACAGCTTTACACCATCTCTACACTATTTTTAAACCTGCTCTACATCAGTTCTAAACCAGGTCGACATCAGTTATGAACCAGGTCTACACCATTTCTAAACCAAGTCTACACCAGTTATAGCCCAGGTCTACATAGGGTCTCCAGCAGGTCTAATGCAGGTTTATAGCTCTACAAAAGGTCTAAACCAGGTCTAAAACCAGATAGTCTTCCTATGTCAGTGGTGAACACCCAGCTAGTCTCCTCTCTCTGCCCTATTCTCTCTCCTGTATGATCCTCAGCTTCTCTGACTGTTGTTTTTGTGTTTTGCTTTCTCCTGGTTGGTTTGTGGTCTCTGCCCTTCTCCTCCTCTTCTGGACTCCCTCAGACAAGTCATGGTTGTCCAGAATGCAAGGTAGCGTGGTGCTTTTGGCCTTTTCGTTGGTGTGCTTGGTTATGATTTCCATTATGAGTCTGCTCCAATGTGTTTTTTCCATTGTTTTTTGATTCTTGTCATTTGTCGATTCGCCGCAACACTCACATTCATACATTGAACTTTTAGAGCCACTGCAAAAAATAGTATCTGCAAAAGTTAAAATGTACTTTTTTATTTTTTTTATTTTAGGGGTAGTAAAGAAGTGAATGAATACTGTAGTCCATTATTCATTCACTGTGTGGTTGTGCTGTTTGGCCCTACAACCACCACACATATCGTATTCATACAGGCAAGTGAGCTGAAGTGTCTTGCCAAGCGTACAACTACAGTATTCTAGTGCTATCCCTGAGTTTCAGAGTGATGAAAAATGTGCACCGTTGCCATAGCAGTTAACAATTAAAACCAAAATATTGTATCTTTTGAATGATGAAAAGGTCTCAAAATGGTGCATTGGTTTCAAGTTTCCATTATATGTGACACTGAAGAATTTGTTTTATATTGGTAATCACTATGGCAACTGGAAATCATTGACATTTCTCATCATTCTGAAACCCATAGATAAACAGGAAGTAGAAACTGATTAATAGATTTGAACCATCAAGAAGACAAAAAAAAACCCTCATATTTCAAAATATGTTTTTTTTTTTAAATACCAAATGAATATGATTTTGGTTTTCTTTCTCCTGGTAGATTTTATGACTTTACAAATAAAATAAATTAATTACATCTAGCACTTAACACTTTTACATTTGCATATGCGAGTCATTTTGACTTGTGCAGGTATGTTTTGCAGTGTACTGTATGAGAAAGGACATGGCACATTCCACACATGGATTTCTTTGACACCATGTTTACACTCACATCCACGAGCATCTGTTCAGTGCACATGAACCGGTGATTCAAACATCACAGTTAAAGTGGTCCAAAATGACAGGACAATATTATGAACAGAAATAACTGCTCTGAACTGTGTGTTTTCATCAGTGCCGACAACAAGCGCAGGACCAAATACGCTCAGAAGACCGTCAACCCCGAGTGGAACCAGACTGTCATCTACAAGAACATCCACCTGGAGCAGGTAAAGACTCAAGACTTTCACACTTTCTCTTTTGGGCTAAAATAATAGTTTCAGAGCAGGCAGGCATGTCAATAATAACCAAAATATCATGATATTATTAGGGGTGTCAAATTATCGCGTTAATTGCGATTAATTAATTACAGTCATATTTAGCGCGTTATGTTTTTTAATCGCGTTAATCTCATTTTTAATCTCTAACTTTAGTGTTTCTGTATGCGAGTTGCTTTATAATAAAACCTGTTTTTTTTTACACACACACACACACACACAAAAACACATTTATAAATTTTTTTTATTTCGGTAATTCCTCTCATTGCTGGAAACCCACACAAAACGCGCGCAGTAAGAGCGATGCAAACATTATGTTAACGCTGGCCGCGTCAGTCGCACAATGGACGAGGTCGAAGAGCCAGTAGAACAGTTAGCAGTGCACAGGTAAAAACACATTCGTGTCTTGGAAATTATTCTCCCGACGTGAAATATAAAAGAAAATAACAAATATAATATCGCCTGAAAACAACCTGCATAGGCTCATGATGTCTGCACTACTGTCCTATAGTGACCTGCCACATGAGGGGACACGCACACAAACACACACACACACACAAACACACACAAACACAACACACACACCTTCATCATCGTCATTAACCTGAGAACGCGCGGACCACGTTTCCTTCCGTAGACACTGCGCGGACACCGACGTGCTCCCGTGAGCCGCGTGTGGATCGTGTTTTCTCGCGTACGCGGCGTAAACCGCGCTTCCTCCTGTGCGCCTCTAAACCAGAACTAACACCAAGACTAAAACCAGGACTAATCCAGTCCAGGACTCAACCAGGGCTAAACCATAACTAAAACCAGAACTAAAACCAGGTCTAAACCAGGTCTAAACCAGGACTAAAACCAGGACTAAAACCAGGATTAATCCATTCCAGGACTAAAGTAGGACTAAAGCAGGTCTAAAGCAGGTCTAAACCAGGACTGAAACCAGTGATCTCATATATAAAGCATTTCTCTATCAATAATATTTTTAATATGATTAAGGAAAGTCTGGACTTTTTATTGTCTTTAAGTAGACACAAGTTATTATGTTCAGATTTCCTCGTCTTTGCTACTTTACAGCAAACAGTTTCTTATTCATGGAGACTTGGGCTCAACAGCCAATTTGCAGAGATTTGTTAAACAATAAATGACTTATAAAAGTCACTTTTTTTAAATCTATATCAGTCTTTTGATCTGCCACAATAATGTAATAATGAATTTAAATGAAAATACCTCAAATTGAAGGCTTTTCTCAGCAATTTTTAGGTGAGATTAAAATGAGATTAATTAGATTAATTAATTACAGATCATAATTAATTAATCTCTCAATTTTTTTAATCGCATGACAGCACTAGATATTATATCGTCAAAAGTCTCACAATAATATCGTGGGCCATCACAATATACTATACTATACATTTTAAAAGAAAAAAAATAGCACATTCACAATTCTGCACAAAATATCGCAATAAATACCATACCGTGACATGCATAATGTGAAAATTCCATATCGAGGGATTTGGATATTGTTAGGCATTAGGCTTCTTCAGACGTTTAAACTTTCTGACTCACAGCCTGTAGATGTGTTGATGTAAATAGTTTCTTTAATGTGTTCTGTACCTGCCCAAGGACTGCAGATGGAAAGTAGCTTGTAACTAAATTTGGTGCAGAGCATCTTTTCTCTCTGAGATTAATGTTTTCTGTGCACTGTCCTTGTTTTAAATAAAAAAATAAAATAAACTTATTTAGAAACAGAGTTGGAAAAGTAGTGAACATGTTTCATTACTGTAAAATATGTAGGTTTAGCTATAGAATTAAGAAAATACTGACATCTGATTGATCTAAGTTAACGGTGCACTATATAACATTTCTGGTGGTGGGTTCGCCGGCTACTTGTCTCCATGGAGATGTTATTGCTTTGCTGCGTTAAAAAAAAAAAAAAAAATTACCATATGTATTTTGGATTTACTTAATTACAGATGTTTTTATTGCTTTAAATACATTGCATACATGTATTCTGTGACCAGGCTCATCTCTCCACAGATATATAAATAAGCAGGTGGTGAACCTTCCACCAGAAAAATTACATAGTGCACCTTTATAGTAATCTGCCAACATTAACATTTGTCTCAAGACTACAGTTGAAAAATAGCCAGCTTGGATAATTCTGATATATTTAAAGAAATATTCTATGCACAGTACCATAAAAAAAATAATAATAATAATAATGAACACAAAACAATGCACAAATAGCATTCCCAGAGAAATTATCTATAATTAATTATACATTTTGAATGTGAGGTGCAGTTGTTCAAATCATTTAATATGTACGATAAAGCTTATGTCACTCACAGGGTCACACACAGTGCAGTGGGAAGAATAACCCTAGATTTTATTTCTGTAGGAATACTGACAATACAAAGTAATATTACTCAAATAGAAGTAAAGGTTATGTGAATAATTTAAAAATAACAAGACAGTGCCTTTTAAAAGATGTTTCTTTAAACCAAGTCCAGACAATGATCCCCATGCTCTTCGCTTGTTTGAATTCTGTGTAGACATTTTTGTCCTGAGGGCTGTTCTTTGCAGTCATCTTATCAGCAGCACTCCAGAGACTCCAGTAAACAAGCATCGCCCCCACCACACAGAGGACTCATTCAAATTAAATGTGTTTAATCATATTGGAAGGCTTTGTGGATATTTTCACAAATGTTAAAAGTGAAGCCTAATTCACACAGCCTGACCAGAGAATTTACAGTACCTGCATTTTGACAGAACACAGTTTGACAGATATGATTTCCCTGTGTTTTTTAATCTCCTGGGTAAGTTACTGTGAATATTCAGAGAAGGCTTATGTGTGAACACAGCCAGAAAATTCCCAATACCACAGCTGGGTTTCCTTGGTTATGAGCTCAGGTTGCTATTGGTTAGGATTAAATGTGAACAGAGCAAACTCTGCAGTGTTCTGAACTCTAGCATTTTGAACCCAGCAATTTACAAGGAACTACACTACCATTCAAAAGTTTGGACTCACCCTCTCATTCAATATATTTTTTTTTCTATATGATTCTATACTTTCTACATTTTCTATACCAGTGATGTACGCTCAGGACAATCAAGGCAATCAGTGGTTGCCCAATAAAATCTAAAACCATGGCGTGTCAAAAGTATAATTAAATCATTTTGAATTCCATCTAAATTATCCTGTTTTCACTTCACTTCTGTCTTTTTCAAACATGGTTATAGTCAGGGTGTAGAGGTCAGTCGGTTGTTTTAGAGGTTTGTGTATGCGTACTGAAGACCACAATGTTGTTTGCACTGTAGTTTGTATAAAAAGTGGCGTTATTAAATCGTTATTGACTAAATATTAATGTCCACCCCAAGTCTGCTTGCCTACCCAAAAAAGTCACCGCACGCTATTGTTCTATACTCATCAAATACATGAAGTAAGATATATGGAATTATTTATCAAAGAAAAAAGTTCCAAGGCAAAGAGTGGCTACTATGAGGATCTGTATAATGTATATGATATAAAGAAAAAAAGATTTAGTTATATATATGTTCTTTCTTTTCTTTCTTTTTTGATGTCTTCTGTGTGTATATCCAATGTAGAAAGTAGTAAACATATACAAAAAACACTGAATGAGGGGGTGTATCCAAACTTTTGACTTTTGGCAGTGTTTGTGTGAGGTTTGAGCACTAGTTCTAGAGGTGTAATTAGTAAGACAATAGTTTTGCAGTCTGAAGGTTCTAATCTTCCTTGGAACGTGCCGTTTACGATGACAAGTTTTATTACCCAGCGTTCTTCACAACTGACAAACTAAATTAGATGTTTATGAACAAAGAAACCAAAACCAATCAAAAACACCAGCTCTAACAGTCTAGATCTTCTGTGTCAGTGGGAGTCTAGAGGATATTTTACATGGATTTGAATCTTAGGGTTGAGAGTTCAAGTCCTGACACTAGTATTTTGTTGTCATGATACTAAAATTTCGAATTTGATTTCAATAGAGATTCCGTTACCACAATAGACAATGGTGTTAAGCATTTAATAATAGTACTTTTTTCTGCGTAGAAAGACTACTTTCTGTCCTGTGAATGTGACTTTTTTAGTACTGATACTGGCTCAAATGAGAATCTAGTTTTAGTACCGATTTGTATCTTATTTTCAATACTTTTGACAACCTTGATTGTCACTTGCTATTGTTTTTATTTTTACTTATTTCATATATTAAAAAATACAAAGACATTTAATAAAAGTTTTGTTTTTGTTTATTTTTATTGAATATGTTATAACACAATGATATGGCAAAACATATTCAACTAAATGACCAGTAGTTTGCAGCAGGCTTGTTGCATTACATAAAGGGAGGAGATACAGGGTTACTTAAAACTAGAACTCATTCGTACCCCAGTCCATAAAATATATTAACAAGATGGACTGATTGTGCAGATGTGTGGAGCCTGAGTGACTGTATATTGTCTAGTTTTACATATATTTATTTTGTTTATTGTTATATCATGTATGCTATGTCAGTGCTGCTGACCCCTGCTCCGAGCCAAATTTCGAAATATACGTCTGAAATAAAGAAAACACCTAAACCCTGAAACCTACAATAGCAATGGTTATGTGCCATATCTTCAGTGGTCTGCACAGAGCTAGTGGATTACCTTTTCCTCTGAGACCATCTCCAGTTAATCATGTTCTTTGTTGGTCAGCCATAAGAATCTCACTGCATCTCTCCTGGCAATCTGCAGCCGTGCCTTCTGATAATGGAAAGATCAAAATCCAATTAGAACTTCTGTGCTGACCAAAGATTTAATAAAAATGTTGATGAGGTGATTTCCAACTAAGATTGTTGCAGGTTGAGACATGCACACTGCAGTATTTCTCTCCACATTTTAGACAATTTTATTAGTTTTTCTTTCTTTTTTTTTTAAATTATGGACCTTCCCCATGATTGAGTTGTCAGAAGTATCGAACGTCAGATTCTAATCGATATTGAAACTAGTATCAGAACTAGATACTCATTTGAGCAGGTATCGACAGAGCACATAGACTAGTATACACCCATAGACCACTATGGAACATACCTGGACGAATGAGGAATTACACAGATATAAGACCACATGGTAATATAAAAGAAAGTATTATGAAAATTACATTCTATCGTCTACATAAGGAGCGTTGTATACTATCATCGCAGTATCAGAAATGGTATTTATTATTGAGTCTATTCCTTTGTATCAAAATCTCGTTTCAAGTTTTAGTATGATGACAATATTACCTGCGACTTAGTATTTTTAGAGTCTTCATCAATCACATGTAAGAAATGAATTTGTTTCTTTTAAAAAGGCTAAGATATGTCTTTCTATGTTTTTTATTCTATTAGACTGTAGCTTCCATAACAACAATTAATGGTGAAATTAATTAAAATGAAATCTCATCCCTGGACCTTGCCTTCAAGCAATACAACAATTAGAAACAAGATTTAGAAAGGAACACAATCTGGGCTTATCAACCATTTACCTGAAACATGCAGCACTGAAATTGCCTTTCTGTCTTATTGTTATGCAAAGGACAAAAGAACTATCTAGAATAATGGTATCAAAACAAACAGTTACTCCCCTTTGCACTATCATCAGTGCAAACAGTTTCACTACATTACTTGACTTTAATTTTCTTTTTCTTTACTAGTTTGAGATTTGGTCAGGACATTTGATTTCAGTTTGTGTATTTTGTGTAATCTGTTTTTTGTTTCCCATTTTCCAGCTGAAAAAGAAGACTCTAGAGGTGACCGTGTGGGACTACGACAGGTCCTCCTCCAATGACTTCCTGGGAGAAGTAAGTGCAGTCACAAACTCTTTAATAGAGATGGTTTGTCTTTCAAGAAATAGACACAGAATAGTCATGATCATATCTACAGAAGTGCAATTATTTATTGAGTATATTGTAAAATAGTGTTCTTATTGGCATCTTTTACATCTCGGGTTGGTGCTATAATGTTTTAGAAGGCTTACCGCCAGGGCATTCATACTATACATAATGACCAACTAGGGTTAAGGTAGAAAAGGTTTCAAAGGTGGTCATCTGGACAGGTTTTTTCTTAAATCATGACAGCTTAGCAAAAGAAAAAAGATCTGTCAACTGGACAAAAGCTTTAGAGTGAAGACATTGCACCGCTCATCCAAGCGACTTCTTCAAGATTCAGTTCTGGGGAAAATTTTTATCCAGTTGACAGAGCTGAATTTTGCTGTAGAGCATACGTAGATGACTGAGGGTTTACATAGACCTAAAGTCACAATGTTTTGGCTTCCCTACAGAAGCCATTTTCTATTTGATGCTACTAGTATGAGACACTAGGATTTACTGTATTGTCTTTAAAAAAGAATCTAAAAAGTCAAAGTACATAAGAAGATGAAAAAAAGCCAAAAAACTTTTGACTTTGTTTGCTAATGTGTGCATTGTGCCTCCATGGTAACTGCTGAACAATCGTCTATACACTATACATGCAGGTAGAGCACCTACAGTGTGACTGCAAAGAATCAATACTCATCCTTTTATATGAGCTGGTACAGTGTTCCAAATCTGGACTAATCGCTCCAAGAAAACCAAATTGAAATGATGTGTTTGTTTTGCAGGTGCTGATTGACCTGTCCAACACCTCTCAGCTGGACAACATCCCGCGCTGGCTTCCTCTGAAGGAGCAGAGCGAGAGCATCGAGCACAGCCGGGCCCACCACGCAGCCCAGGGGCCCTCGGGATCCGGGCCAGCGTCAGGGCCAGGGCAGGGCCACATGTCGGGGGCCGGGATGGGACCAGGGAGCAGCCACGGAGGGCTGGGTCACACCTCGGGGCAGGGTGACGGCACTCACGACTCACCCAAAAACTCTGTCATCAAAAGCCGCAGCCACGGAATATTCCCTGACCCAGCCAAAGGTACAATATTGGGTCAAAAGATTGTAGACCCTCCTAGAAGTGCCTGGTACTGATATCAGCATTCTATCCCATTCATTTTAATAAGTCAGCAAAATAGAATCATTAGTTTTGATGTTTCTAGATGGAGCAGACAAATGGTTCTTGTTTACATGTTTTATTGCATTTGCTAACAAGTAATAACAGCCAATATCTATGCAGCTCTAGTTTCTAAAGTATGTGGGATTTGTAGTTCTTGATGAATTAAAACTAAAATTAAATTGTTAAGCTGTTGTGGCCCAGTATATTTTAGATAAACATTCAATTTTGAATGTTTATTGCATGGTCGTTAGCATTTTTGCTAATTTTGGCTTTAATCACTAAAGTTAATAATCTGTGCGAAATAGTATTACACATCGTAATCTCTTCTAACAAGGCTCTAATGGTTCTTACTTGTGGTTGAGTATTTGTCAGTTGCCAAATCAGTCCTGGTTTTTCATAGCTTGTGATGTTTGGAGGCTAATCCTAACGCTGTCGTTGAAAATACATTGGAGCTAATGGAGCGCAGGTGTTCTGTTTACACTAGAAGGACCTATAGAAAATGCATTATACATACCTATCACTTCAAATGGTTTTATGTTCTACAACTATCCAAAGAGAGATGCTGTTCTGTCCTGACAGCACAATGATATTCAATATGACAACATTAGGATGTATCACGCTAAAGGTATTTAAGTGTACCTGCTCACATTTCACAACAAGAATATAGCGTGTTTGTTTTCAGGATCAGTAGTCCTGCTTCTACAACACTTTATGGGGGTGAAAACTGAACTTTGAAAATTACCGAACTTGAAAAGCTTTTTGAACAACTACTTTTAATCACCCAGATCTAATTGCAGGCTTTCCTTTGTGCGAGTCTCACTTTTGTGGTGCCTTATGATTTAAAACTTAATTTTCAGCCAATTTTCCGCTATACTTCTGCATCCATTTGTGCAGCCTAATTTTACATTTAAGCTTTTATGCAAATGTTAGATTTGACATGAAATGCTCCACACTACACTGGGTAAAACAGGTTCTAAAGTTCTGATAGTACTTGTGTGTTGTTAAGTGGTTTTCATTAACCAAAACAATCATCACTATTCAATATTCATTGTTTTGCTGTCAAAATTTTTATCTTCTATTAAAAATGCAATTCAAGTCAAGTTAACTTTTCAAAAAATAAATTGTGCATAATACCCCCTTTATGCAAAATAGATTTTTTATTTTTTTTTAAGCTTTCTACCATGTTACAACATTGTTCCCTCATCAAAAACAAGCCTGAAGAGGTTTTAGATGTCATCCATGCATGCAGTATTTTAGCTACTATTTTTTCTGGGCACTATTCAAACCCTCCTTACAGTTAGCAATAAGATTTTAAGTCATGTTCAGGCCGCAAGCCTATGTCACCCATGCTCCCACATGACAATTCTCCATAATACAAAAGCATGATACAAATCAAATGTCAAAGCAAAGCATGTTTAAAGACCAATACATCAAAACAACTAACGCTAAATATGTGTCAGCTAAATTAATAATACCATCTTTTGATGTTAAGATTGATAAACTCTTGTGATGTGAGTATTTTGCACTCACACTCCATCTGGTTGGACTGTAGGTAAAAGCCACAGCACCTTGAGAAAAGCCCCATTAACAAGTGCAGGGCTCACAGATGCTGCTCCAGCTGTTCCACGAACTCAGCCAACATCCTGGTCCTTTTGGTTCAGTGCAGAAGGGTTAACCACTCTGCCAGTTATGCCTGTTTTTAACCTGGAGAGAGAGAGATGAGTGAGATGCAATGAAAGAAATGGATGGATTAAGATACACTGTAATGAGAAGTGAGAATGACTGAATTATTAGAGGAATATTTATAGACACCAATGGCAGAGAGGGGATAGAGAGGTTGAAGAGGCTGATGGTACTGCTGCTGCGATTGAAATTGTGAAAAAGGTGGTGGTAGACAACTAAAATGGCATGAAGGAAAAGAGAAGAGTGTATATTAGAGATTGATTGGTAAGGGTTTTTCATGGCCGATAATGATTTATTTAAAATTTTTTGTATAATCCGTAGCCAATATTTTGATTTCAATATGTTGGGCAGATTTTCTCCAATTGATTATTTTAATATGAATATATGATCATTTGAAACTGTCTGTACACTGTGCACTGCTCTGCCTGAAAGATAATATTCATAGCAATAATTTTTAGACAGCCACCACCCTGTTTCACTGAAAACCATTTTGTACAGTGACTCTTGGCACTCAGGTGTTCAAATAAAACCTAGTGCATTTTCCCTTAAGCTGCAGTATATCTAATTTAAAGAGCGGGTAATTTCTACCATGTTATAGCGTTGTTCCTGAAGAGGTTTTATATATCATCCAGCATGTCCAGTCTCTCCCTGTCACAATTTGAACCCTCCCTCTAGTTAACGGTACAATTCTGTCCAATACTCAGCCCACAAGCCTGCATCAGCCATGCTCCCATAAGGTAATTTTCCATAAATATAGAAAAGCAGGATATGGGGGGACTCAGCACATTGAAAAAAAAAACATGTATTAACAATTTATATCCCACAGGTGTGTAATATCCACCGTATAAATTAATTTCTATAGGCATGCGACTGTTTGAGACTGACATCTGGCTGACATCAGAATGAATACAGTTTAAGCTACAGTTTAAGCTTAGAAGTTATTAGATTTTGTTGATACTTTACACTATCAGAAAGTACATGCAACAACAACAATCTAATAAATTTTTTAATCGCAGAGCTCTTGAGGAAAGGCGGCCCCTCAGTTGCCATGGTGATGTAAAAAAAAAAGCACTTTGTCGACAGCCATAATTACACCTCATATAAATGTCATCTGCCACAGCGCACCCAGAGGTCCACGGCCTAATGTTCCAACCCTTATCTCTGCCAGTCAACCATCACAGTCCGACCTGCCTCGTCAGATGTGCAGATGGTACCTTCTCTCTGGATCTTTTCATGTTCTGTAATCAGGTCTTTCAGATTTTTGAATGAAAATGAAGGTAAAAGAATGGGAATCTAGGATTTTATACAAAGCTCAGCTGTCAAAGGATAATGCCCAAAACACACCCACTGCACTTTATTTAATTTTCTTGTTTTGTTTTTTTGTTTATTTTTTGAAAACATCTTTCAACAGCATCATGTAAACATTTTGGCACATATAAAAAATTAATGACTGCCTTGCTGTTAAAAACTAAACAAAAGCTATGTATATGAATAGTAATATAATAAGTAACATGGTCATACCTGCTTATCAATGCTCAGTCGCATCAGATCTTGAAAGCTAAGCTCGGCCTGGTTAGTACTTGGAATGGAGACCGCTGGAAGAGAGAGACTTTATTGATCCCAAGGGAAATTCAAGTTTTGCTGAAACAACATTTACACTGCATTTCAGTCACCTTTGTGTCTCAGTCAAAGATCTCAGCGCAGTTTAACAAGAGGACTGGTCAGGTAGGGTCAGCAGATCTGTGTCGGAGCAGTTTGAGGAGAGGAATAGTCATCTGGACAAAAGTGTCACTCACTCTTACTCCACTCTGTTTACCAGGTGTGGCAATACCGGGTACCACAGTGGGGCAGTAGTGGGTCTAGTGCTAATTGTCATTGTGTGCTTAGGTAAGACACTGCTTGCAGTTTGCGCAGTATGAAATTAGTGTGTGTGTGTGAGAATGCTGTTGGTCCAGTCTGCCCCAGTTCAGCTGTGGTTATGATAGTAGCTTACCATATGCCATCTCTTTCATTCTTTTTTTTTTCTTTTTTACCACTTTCTACATTTTATATACATACAAAAGACAACAAATATATAAAATAAGATATATAAGAAATATGTAGCAAAGGAAAAAAGGTAAATAATCACATGAAGTTATTTACCTTTTTGTACTACTACACAACTTACTCTTACTAACTTTCCTTCATGATCAGATATGTAGATGTTCACTTTCTCCTTTCCTCTTTCAGACATGCAGATGCTGCCTCTGGAGAAGTCCCACAGCAGCCCAGGCAGCTCCAAATCCTCCTCTGAGGGCCAGCTCCTGTCCCACGGCCCCTCTCGCTCCCAAAGCAAGAGCAGTGTCACCCAAGCCCACCTGGAAGACGCCGGCATCGCCATAGCAGCCGCCGAGGCCGCAGTGCAACAGTCCCGCTTGCAACCAAGTAAATCCCTCCCCTAAGCGAGGATCTGCTCCGGACCTCCTCCTCCTCTCCATCTGTCCATCTGTTCATCTCTCCTCCTGCCCGCATGCTCTCTCTATCTCTCGCTCAGGCCATTAAAATCAAACCTGACGTGCATTCACAACCTGACGACTGCTCCTCCGCTCTACCCTTTGCTGCTCAGTTCCTCCAAGCCCCAAACACAGCCCCTTTTTGTGCCAGATTTGGATAAAAAACTATAGTAATATATTGTGAGAAAGCCCAAAAGAGATAATAAATGACCACATTCCCTAACCCTAACCCACATTAAATAAATTAAATAAATAAAACTAAAATAAAAATTAAACATCATAAAGTTAAAAGTGTTTTTTTTTTTTTTTTTATGTAGTATTTAACTCTAAATATTGGGAATTAGTAGAAAGCAGACAGTCAGGGAATAACTCACATATCCCGTAAGTTTTTTTGTTTTGTTTTGTTTTGTTCTTTTCTTTTTTTTTAAGGTCCAGATTATGTCCCCATGAGTTCATTATAAATCTACCAACAGTAGATTGAGTATTTGCCAGCAGCATGAGCCAACTAAAGTATAGTAACTTACTACTGCTGAATATGGAGTGAATGAATAATGTTAAATAAAGCACTTTGAAACTCCTTGAAGATGCTACCTGTAATAGAAGTATATGCAAATTATTTTTAAAATAAAATAAAAATGTATCTCTCCTTAACCACAATGAGGAGTGCATGTGCCAATCCCAGTTGTTTTTGCTAAGCACTCAGAGAAATCACAGAACAGTTACCCCAATGTATTTAAACAGAATTTAAGATTATCCCTAATATTGTCGTCCATTTGTATTTTGTAACCGTAAATCCTGTGTCAATGCTTGCACTGGCAGCTCTCCTCGCCCACTGCTGCAGCCTGTCCGTGCATGTAAACAACACCACACCCTAAATGACAATGATAACGCACCCAGGCCCCTCCCCCTGACACCTTAGCCCCTCCCCTTGCCCCCTGCCTAAAAAAAAAATACAACATAAAAGATTTCAGAAGCTCATACTACAATCACGGGCCAATGAGACTAAAGCTTCAGCTAACCATCAAGTGTGACAAGCAGGTGAGGCTACGCAGATTAAAAAAAATGAAATAAAAATGCATAAATTTAACTAACTCTGACTAACAGTTATACGGGGTAATGGGGTGTAATGCAGGGGCTGTTTCAGGTTTTGATCATGGATGGTTTGAATGCACGGTACGGAAGTCCATTTCTGCCATTTGAAGGAAAGGAAAATATACTACTTTTTTTTTTTTTTTTTACATAAATACTATTTTCTATTTTCTGAAATTGGAAAAATTGGAAACTACAGGAAGTAGCATTGCATTGCATTACATGTCATCAGCTGTCAATCAGTTCCATCAAAAATGTAAATCATAACTACTGTGTAATTTTGTTTAGTTTTAGCCCTTGTCAACATTGTGGTTGCTAGGTAACAGTTATATATTGGTGTCAAACCAGGAAGTAAAATTATAAACTTCACTAAAATTAGTGGCTAAGGCTAAGCAAGAACTATTTTTATCACTGAAATAAGTAGCCAACATTCAGATTTTTTTATTAAAATATTGAGAAACAAAGCAAAAATTATGAGATAAGTAAATTATGTAATAGTAATCTATGTAAAAATAGTGAAGTACTGAGGCAAGGTACAGTATATGTTATGTATATAGTCACTCTTACCGCATCAAAATTGGAACTAGCATGGGACTAAAGTCAGAACTAAACCTGGATTTGACCAGAAATAAACCACGACTAGTTTAATGTTAGGTTCAAATCTGGTATTAATTGTGCCTTTAATCGATATGACTGCATTTTTATGAGAAATATCCAAAAGGAAAATACGCAATTTCTGAACCTGATACATTTTATCTGTGACCAGGAGTCTATAAAACAATATGTGAAATTCTGACTAAATGTTTGCGTATGGTCAAAGGACAAACTTACTCAAACTTGCACATTAAAGTGAGAATCGTTTTAGTCTTTCTGAGCACAAATTGCCTTATTCTTTGTCCGTTAAATCCTGTGCAGGGAAGGTTCAGGGTTGTGGACTGGACTGGATTTCTATGACAACTAAGACAACTAAGTTGTCTTTTTTATATATTTTACACTCTTTCTTGCATAAAGTCATCTTTTGTATGTATGCCTGCTTTATAAATGAGACCCCAGGCCATTGAATATGTCCGTGTATTCCAAAATAATTCTAATTAAAATGTTATTTTTAGTACCACTTCTCTGTTTTTAAGGATGTTATAATGTCAGAAATTATGAAAAATTAAAGCATTATGTCATATTATGATAAGCTGTGAAAATGATGTACTAAATCAAAATAATTAGCCTGCCAGCTAAGCACAATTTTCAGGTAGTTTATCATAATGTTGACTTGGTATTTAATTTAAAAAGTCATTTTCAAGTTTATTAAAAACAACAACAACAATAACACAGAAGCACTTTTTTTTTTTTTCTATCGGTGGCACAAATATGTTTCCGTACATGAGCCTGTGTGAATGTGTGCATCATTGTCAGTCTGGTGGCAGTCTGTAGCATGCACGTACAGCTCTGCACCGAGCACATCCGAGGCGTATGTGTTCTGGAGAACATCATCTGTTATGCAAATGTATAAATGCAGTGGACTCAGACATTTCACTTATCCGCTCAGCTAACCCCCACACAGACTCAGCATAACAACTGCTGCACTGACTGTCCATAAGCACACAGCACCAGAGAGCACCAGACGTGACTTTAACCTTCACCTGTTTATGTCTACTGTGTTCAGACTAACCAAGGTCACACAGGTTATGTAATACTAGTTGTATGTAATGGAGTACGGTTCCACTTCAGACATGGCGTTAAAATTGCAACAGTGCTGTGTGAGTGCAGTGTGAATGTGGCTAAATATATTCATGGTGCATCGGGGATGTAATAGGAATTGGATGTGTTCAAAGTTTATATGCAGAGATCTTGACTCCCTTTGAGAATCCCCCCTAGCTCAATACATTGTCATTCACAAATACAGCAGCTGTAAAATTTGATTTTTTCCCCTGACCAATATCTGGTGAGAGATTGACGTCAATAGCACCTTTGAAAATTCATAGTTTTGAGAAAAACTGTGACACATTCTATAGGCCTACAGTTTGCAGCAGCAGCTGTTTTGGTGGTTTTCAGATTCTAGAAAGACATTATGCCATACTGTATGATGGTGATATTGCTGGGAAATATCCAGAATGTAAATTCACAAATCATAGTCATTTTGATTTGAGACTAGACCCAAGAATTCCTTTAGCACAACAAAAATCTGCATTTTATCTATATAGATTTTACTTGCCCCCCATCTGTATTAAACATGATTGATCTATAGAATGCTGTGATGTCATGTTAAACTCAGACATTATTGGTTAGAGTCACCACTTTGAAAATTAGGTAGAAAGTGATGTTTAACAAGAAATGCAGATTTAAATGCTAGGCCTGACCTTACCAAACTGAATGTTTGAAGTGCACATGCAAAACATACAGACAGCATTTTATCGATCAATCAAGATCACTTTATATGTGCCCTCGGGGAGCAATTTAAGCACACTGAGCAGTAAAATACAATGATAACAGAAAAGCTAAAAAAGCAGCTTAATAGGTAAGGTCATCAGGTCCAATATCAGGGCAGTGTGAGGTGACTAATAGCCCTCAGGACAAAAGTGCCCCCTGTGCTGAAACCTGGACATCACAGCAGGGAGAGCCAGATGAACTCTGGAGGCAGAGCAGAGAAGTCTCTCCTAAGCCTCATGTTCACTCTGCTTTGTTGTTTCAGACTTTCTATTCAGTGTGAAAAGTCTGTTTTGTCATTTTGATTTATTTATTACTTTTCAATTACTTTTTTTCTTTATTTGTCCAAAATATTACGCTAAGAATGTAAGAATACTTTTCTTAAAACTGCTCAAAGTGTGCCAGCCAGTCAGCCACAAGAGCAGCCAACAACAGCATGGCAACCACAGAATCAAATGACCGTGTGTATAATAGTGTTTTGTGATAAGCAGAGATGTATGAACATATGTGATCTAACACACTGTCCCCTGTCCTCCTGTCCCTCTCTCAGGACCTGGACACCGACTGGCTGATGTCTCTGGCTCGGTGGTCCTGTCTGCTCCCAGTCTGGTCGGAGACGCATATGGAGACGGAGAGGACGGGGCGGGCAGCGGGGTGGACAGTGCCATCTTTCAAGTCCCACGCATGTAAACTACTGCATTTCCATATCGCACATTATACATGCAACATTTAGTGTCTTATGTTGTTTTATTACTTACTACAAAATACTTTTGCAGCTGATGTCATTAACATTCCCTATAGGGGCGTGATGCTAACTGAGGCACTGCTTCGTCTGATGCTCTGTTACTCAAGTTAGACTTTAGTCTGAGCTTTGTTTTAATACAATATTACGAGAAAGAGCTGATTTAGTTGGAACTGCAACAAGAGAGATGATTGCTGTTAAGCAAGTTTCTAACACATAAATTACAGTCACAAGCTAGCTAACATTAGCCAACACTCTCGCCTTAAAACTTTTTTGACAGTGTTAGTTAATGTGTGTGCATTATGTCACCATGATGCCTGCTGAACAGTCCACCATAGAAATACATGTAAAACACCCCCACTGCAAAGTATCAATAGGTTGTGTTAACATGACATCACAACACTTTAGAATTCCTATAGTTTAAAATGCATATGACAGGTTTGTGTCTTTTTCTAACCATTACTTAGTTTGGCAAAAGGAGAAATTCGATTTGTTGCAGTTCATCCATGCTGCTTCTTCAGTTCTGGTCAGAATGCTGGTGGACACTGCCTTATCTGCCTGCAGGGAGGAGCTAACTACCCTGACACTATTCTGAAATTAACACACCTACTTGTTCACAGTATCATATTAGCATAACCTTTCAGGGCCATAATGTGTGCTTTCCCACCTCTGTGCCTGCGCTGGTTAACCCAATTGATCACTTGGTTTGTTATGATTTAGGGTTGAGGATAGAGTTATAAATGGGAGAAAGGATTCTCTTTCTTAACAAAAATAGCCTCTTTAATTCCCCTCTCAAACCAATTCTCTCTGGCTGTACCTCACTATCCTCAAAGGAGTGGCCCGTGGCTATTAGATGGAGATGCACAGCAGACTGAGGACCACTATGGCTCTCTCATCTGCCTTGGTACATCCTCTTGTTAAGTGTCTGTTTTATTTCTCCAATTTAATGCTCACTGCAGCCTTCACTTCACTCTTGTCCAGTTAACAAATTGAATTTATTCTTTTGCCATGGATTCTATCTGCACGACTGAGAGATTTTACACACATTACTTGGTTTGGTTGGATAGAACCTGTAAATATGTATTATAGTTTTACATGAATCAAGTCTGTGAAAAAAAACATTAGGAAGAAAAGCACAAAAATACAGGAAATAGTGGTTATTTCTTTAACAGAATACCTACATGTCATCAGCGCAGATTCACAGATTTACATCCAAAATAACAATAAACCAATATGCCAGTTTAAACATTCCTTTAACAGTATACAGTTTTTGCCATTACTCTCTTAATGGGGCTGGGCAGGTCAGAATTGTATGGTGGAATTTGTTGTTTAACTGTCAGATTACAGATGTATTGACCTGGTTTATGGTGGATAGCACCCACTGATAACACAAACGGGCACAAAGTACAATGACATATCTCAAATAATAATAATAAGGTTAATTTGTAGATTATAGGTTTGAATATCTCTTGAAAAAAAACTGCAAATCTCGCCTAGATTTATAGGCCCCTGCCCTCCATCTGAAATTATGACATCATCCAATTCTAGGACATGGAAATAACAGATTCTGCATGTGTGTTTCTTGTCTTGCAGGAAGGCAATTCCCAACGGCACTGACAAGCATCACATCGTCACACCAGAAAATGAAGGCAAGTCCCAAACATGTTCTATTTCCTGTTCTAGTGTGTGAAGAGTAAACAAATGTCATATGGAAATACATGGATGTACACTGCCCCCTGCTGGATGACTAAAGTGGTGCACCTAACGTATAGCAGGTCCAGCTTGTACGACTGACTGAACTAGGGCTGTGTTTACCTACATGCTCATAGAAGGCCACTTTCAGACTTACCGATCTTTTTATTATGCTAAAAACGTGATTATGAATGGTTTTGGGAACAGCCTCACAATGTATGATGCTTTTTATAGACACATGCAGAATCTTTGCAGTTGTTGCCTCAGTTGTGCACTATATCTACATAATACAATGCTATCACCTAATATTGGCACTATTAAAGCAAAATAGACACATTTGTATGAGTAAACATTATTAGAATTCAGCATATGAATCCTGATTTGGGTTGATTTTATTTGATTTAATTGGTGGTTTGTGAATATGATGATACACCAATACCTAAGTACTAACAAATGGGGGGCAAGAGCAACTTTTGTCTATGGATTACTTTAAAATTTTATGAAGAATATTCAAAATAAAAATCTTCTAATAGTGATCACAAAAATCTTTATTTTAATTAAGAATACAAACATAGTTAAATGATCTGAATCTGTAATCTGTCTGTCTGTAATCTATACTGAAGGTCCTCTATTCAGTTCAGCATTGCAACAGTCTAACATTCAGTCATGTTAGAATGTTGTTATCTCATCAAAAACATACCCGGTGTTGTGTTGTGTTTCATTCACACATGTTGCTCTCTTCCACTCCATGATGTTATGAAGCGGTAGTTTTCAAGTTCAAGTTTTCAGCAGCCTCCTTTTATCTTCAGTTCATTAGAGATAGGAAATTCCAGGTCTGGAGTAATCTAAATGATTCTAGTGAAGGTGTATGACGTTTAAAAACATAGTGTCGTCTGTATTCCTGTATTATCACAAGACATCACAAGGTGGAACAGTGTTTTATGTTTCAAAGAAGAACCCAGCCTAAATATGCAGGGTTAGGCAGTGCGTTAAAAATGTGAATGAAACAAAACACAACTCCAGATATGTTTTTGACGAGGAAGCATTATGACATAGATCAGAAAACAGCGCAATATAGACACTTTAAATATTATAAATAAACTAAAACCATTTATAAAATGTATCTTATCAACCTTTTATTTGTCAAGGGTGCCACTATGAATGGACTGCACTGTATAGCACCTGTATTTAAGTACTGTATGTTGCACAAACAAGCGTGAGGAGTGTTAGCTTTCATTAGCAGTTAGCCGTAGCTCTTAATGGCGTTTTGCTTGAGCAGAGGTGGCTGTCACTCTACCCCAGCTTTTGTCAGGACTGTGTCCCCCCTGCCTGGAGCTCCGGTGTCCTCGGCCCTGATCTGGTTTCACTGAAGCAGAGAAGACACTGGGAGTTCTGGGGCTTTACTGTGCAACTGTCACTCATATGGCTCAGGTGGTAGGGCACTCAGGCCAAGAACAGGAAGGTTGGGAGTTGGATCCCAGCTCTGACCAGTCTCTTCTTTTGTTGTGTACCTGAGCAAGACAATAATGAATGTATGTGTGTTTGTGTTGTCATGATACAAACATTTCGAATATTCAACACTGATTTTGAAACCACTATAGTTTAAAAAGCTCCATGTAATCATTCTAAAACTGTTCAGATAAAAAAAATACATAACTGGAAAAAAAAAAAAAAAAAGCTCAAGTATCAATACTTGTTCAAAAGAGTGTCTAGTAGGGATGTAAAGATATCCAAATTTCTCTGTATGATATTATCATGATATGCATCTCACAGTATGATATTTATTGCGATATTTTGGAGGGGCTAATGTAATTGTAGATAGAACAAGTTTCTGCTTTTAAAATACCTTGACAATAGTTTGGTGTGAATTGTTACCATTTTCAAGTTTCCAAATTCAAGTAAAAAACATATCTATTCATGTTGTTTGTACTGAAATGAATCATGGGATATGTAGTTCCCTATGATCATCAGCTGTTGCTACTGTAAAACCATGCATTTAAGCAAAGAACTTGTAATTCGATAGCCCACGATATTATTGTGAGACTTTTGACAATACGATCATATCATATTTCGGTTATTGTTACATCGCTAGTATCTAGCTTCAGTACTAGTTTTAGTATTGTTTGGTATTTGGTAAAACTTTATGAACTAAATGACAAATTCTTAAACTTGTTAGTTATCTATAAGTTAAAATTTGCTTCCGCAACCACAGCTCAGTTCTAAGTGGGCGTGACTGTCCTACCAGCTCTGACCAGTGATTCCTTCCTTGGGCAAGACATGTTCACTCAGTATGAGTGATGTCTGTCAATGATTGGTGCAGTTTTGCTAATAACAGAAACGTTGGCAGTTCCCAGCCAGTTCTTTGCTCTCACCAACTTTTGCATTTGTTCGAAGAAAAATCATGATAACATGTTGTCTATTAACATTAAATGTTGTCTAATCCGCTGACACTGTCCCATAAAGCAGACTGACTTCTGCTTGCTTATATGAGTGTTAAGGGTTTCATCATTTTGTGTTGAGTTTTCAGAGCTAAATGTCATTGCACATCATTACACCAGCTCCTGCAACTCTCACCATTTCACACTGCTCTCAGACTCAGCTCTGACCTTTTCTCGGAGTTCCCAAAATGACAGATTTTTTTCAGCAACTAAAACTTTTGTAAAATTTCAGAAGATGTTTTCTTTTTTTTTTTTTTACCAGGGGTCCTATTTCTGGAAATATATTGGAAAGTTCAAACCCGGGTCCAAGTCGACCTACTAGTATATATGCTGTTGTTGTTTTGCCCAAATCTCTTGTCTCGCTCTCGTGGACCCGATCTTATGTCTCATCTTGTGGAAATTGTGCCTACATAAAACCTATCTATGTTCATGGGGAATGTTCCAAAGTACTGTTTTAACTTTCTGTATCCATGGAATCGTGCAGCTGACTTTCCACCTTCAGAAACATACATACTATCACTTTAATGTGGAAATATCAGAACTATTGAATTCACTTCAGAATCAGATTCCTTTCATCAAATGCAGATTTTTTTTTTTTTTCTTTTACAGTGTACCGAGAGTGTCTTCAGACAAGCAGACACAAGAACTCCTCTCATGTGTGTTGACTGTGTGCTGTGTGCAGGTGGGAAAGTGCAGGTGATGGGGGAGATCAAAGTGGCTCTGAAGAAGGAGGTGAAGACAGAAGGAGACCAGCTGGTCCTGGAGATCCTCCAGTGCAGAAACATCACATACAAGTTCAAAAGCCCCGACCACCTCCCAGGTGTGCTCACACTACACACATACATTTAAACATTATAATTCAGGCCTGTCATATTCTATAAGGGCACATGTCGCAAGCTCAAAGCACTTCAGATAAATTAAAGATGCACTATGTAACATTTCTGCTAAAGGGTCTGGCACATATTTGTCTCCATGTAGATGTCATTGCTTTAAAGTGTAGGTAGTATGACATTAACGTAGAGCACCGACATAGCTCACATGAAGAATGTATCCTACTTTCTAGGTTTTTATGAGTAATACAAACTCTGGTAATTGTGCAATACTAGAAATAACAAGGTTATATGTGAGTTCAAATGAAGTTGTGTTGTTTTACAGTTTTTCAAGTGTGCAGTGATTTGTTAGGAGGTTTAGCCAGGGGTTTATTGTTAGTTTTATTCTGTTTATCCAGTTTGTGAGGATGTTTTCTTTGCCAGAGTTGTTGCAGAAAGACGTTATGTAATTGTTTGGGTAAGGGAATGGAGGATAGGTCACCAAGTAAACAGACTGTTGGGGATGGAGAGATGCTGCGATTACAAATCTTTGACATGACCAGAAGTTCAAGCCTTGTTGACATAAGTTAATAAGCGTGTGTCCTTTTCTCAGACCTGTACGTGAAGCTGTACGTGGTGAACGTGGCAACACAGAAGAGGATCATCAAGAAGAAGACCAGAGTGTGCCGCCATGACAGAGAGCCGTCCTTCAATGAGACCTTCAGGTTCCCCCTCAACCCCACCGGACATTCCATACAGGTGACTACACATATCAGGCAAAATTAAGCTTTAACCATTTTATAAAGTTCCTGTTGCAAAATATACCAGGAGATGTGGTTTGATTCATTCATGTTTATTAGTCCATGGACCAGACTCCAAAATGACTTACTGGTATCACTCAAGGTGGCATGGGCTAGCAGTGATTTTTCTGCAAGTACCATATCTAAGCTATTTTTGATATGATAGACTTTTCCATCTTTCTGATGTTTCAGCTGTATCATTGATATCAGTCTTTGAACTGTACAAATCATGTGTTAGTTTAGGCCATGTGTCTCGTCTTTGAAATCACCATGGTAACAATAACTTTTTCACACTCTCACGTGAAACATTTTTCCAAGGGTTTTACATTTTATCCTTAGCATGATGTGCTGTAACACAAATATTCTTGCTTTAAAGTAAGGACCTTGCAGGTTCAATTTTTTATTCTTTATCTTCAGATAGGAGTTTAGAAATAGAAGGTACATTGCCAGAACTCCAGTTGCCATCTGTCTTATTTTTTGCAGATAAAACATTCTCCAGATGGGAAATATCTTGCAACTGGACAGACAAATTTTATGTGAGGTTAGGTTAATTCCACAAAGTCTGGACATAAAAGCTTTGTATATGTGACCCAGTTTGTAAGCTCTAAAACCTGAAATACAAATGCCCAGGTGATCAATGACATGTTTAAAACTCACTTCAAATCTCCCAAACCAAGCGTAGTTGCACAAACCAAGTATATTTAGTGTATAATCCTACACTGATAAAAACATTTTAAACTGTCTTATTAAAATGCCCTATTATATTTTCTCAACAGCTTTTCTTGGTGTCCAACGGTGGCAAGTTCATGAAGAAGACCCTCATCGGAGAGGCCTACATCTGGCTGGACAAGGTGGACATGAGGAAACGGGTGGTTAGCTGGCACAAGCTGTTAGCTAGCACCGCGCTAACCAACCCCTGAGATGCATTTGACCCGCCTGGACAACGCGCCGGACGATTTCACCAAGGAACGATGTAGACGCAAACATACATCAACTTCCTGAGAATAAAAAAAAAACAACACTATTACAAAACAAACGCCAAGAAATTAGCACTGCCAGCACAAAGGTCCGTTCACCTTGCTGGTTGGGTTGTGCATGGATGCAATGGGGAATTTTGACGGACTTCCATACCAGCTGTAGAAACGGATTCTGTTTTGTGAAATTTTTCCTCATGGAACGTCATTGTCCGTGAAGCCTAAATGACGATTGTGAAGTGTGATATAGTGCTCTTATAGTAGGAATGTGTCTGTTTACTTTTGATTTTTTCATAGTCAGAAAATCTATGGAAGTTATATGGATCAAAATGGGACTGGGATGTACAGCACTTCGGATTGTAGATATAACAGAGCATATCAGAGTTTATCATTGTACAGTGAGATGTGAAATGATACAGAGAATTATGAAATATATTAAATAATACAGATCAGAGTGAGCTATACAGAAATACTACGACTAGGCTGGAGATGGCGCACTGACAATCCATTCATGTCTATAGAAATATATATGGAAATGATTTGGCAATGACGGACCTAGACTATAGAGAAGTAGAAGTAGTAATGGTAGTAGTTGGAGTATTTCAAAATGGCACAGCTTTATGGGAAACTATTGGTATGAATGTGTACAATAGAAGGAGTTAGGATATTCAACATTAAAGCAACACTATGTAACTTTATCTGTTTGGGCGTGGTGGTTCGGAAAAGGATGTACAGAGAGCACAAGTCCAACTAAACCAGGCTAGTTGATTCAGTAATTACTGTTAAAATCTGTTCATTAGTACATAGTGGACAGTATGTGATGTTACTGGAATCGAACTGGTTACCGTGTGGGTCGTGGGCGTCGCTGAACCCACTCCACTATCAAAAAAAACTACATCAGTTCACAACAAACATTACATAGTGTTGCTTTCTTTGTTCAACCATTTTCGTCTAATAATTTCGACTGTTGCAATGAAAAGTGGATCTACGTGTTAGCATCTTGTCTCTCAGTCCTCGTATGCTTCCTGTCTCGTCCCTTGGTCACAGAATCTTGCCTGGGATCCAGAATAAACACTTCTCCAATACTTTATGAAGATGTGAGCCTGGTCACCGGTGAATCTCCCAGATTTCAGATGGGCGTGATTAGATGGATTATCAGAGGCACGCGTGGTCCATATCAAAACAAATATGGCTGCTTATGAGGCGAAAAGAAAGGGAAAAATTATAAAATATCTCTGCAGAATCAAATGAACCACTAAACTCTGATTGGATGGCCGTGTCTAGAAACGTACTCAAGGGAGTGGTGACCAGACTGATATCTCTCTGTACAAAAACATACAGAGATCTCATTTTGGACTTACCAGGCAACCAAGAATATCAAATACTTCACAAAATGAATACATATCTGGTCTTTACGTTGTCTTCTTGGGTGTATAAAAAAGTTACGTCGTCAAACTTGCTACACCAGCCGACTTCACTGCCTTTGACAAACGCGCTCTTGGTTCCCACGAGACTTATATTAATATCGAAAAATTATTATGGGGGCCAATTGTGTTGAGAATATTTTCGATTTATGCCATCAAAAAAGACGCAATCTCAGTGAACCGTAAGTGTATTCAGGCATAACACAGGGCTGATGCAACGTGATGTAAAATTCAGTAAAAAAAAAAATTGAAAAAAAAATTGATGTCGAGAAAATTATTGAGAATAAGGGGATGTGATTGGTCGATTTGTTGTGCCATTTTTTTATCGTTTTAAGGTAATTCTATGCAACATACTGTATGTGTTTGAATGCATTGTATTTTATTTTTGTTATAATATATTGTGTCGGAAAAATTATAATTTTAATTTTTACATTTAAAATTTTTTATTCAGAAATTTTAGTAAACGTAGGTGTTAACTCGTGTTAGCATCCACTTGGAGCTTGTGCACTTTACTGATATTCTATTTATTTTCTTGTCACGAAAATATGAAATGCTGTGTGGATTGAAAAGTGTAAAAAGTTAAAATATTACAAATATTTATTATGTGGCAAAAAAGATTTAACATGACATCAAATGCACAAGCTGGTTGGAATAGTGTACAGTATGGTAAATATTACATTGAAATCCATTGTGTCATTTCCCTATAGAGAAAATATAGGTTCAAAAATGATGTTATGTGAACCGTTTTTGTTTTGGGGGAGCGTGAATGTGATCCGTGTACATAAAGTGTTTATTTTCTACAAAGATTGAATGTTTATATTTGTCCAAGCATGTGCGTGTATAAAAAATAACAATACCATGTATGTAACTGTACAGCGATGCCTGTCTCTAGTTGTAAATGAGGAGTTTTAAATGTCCACTGATCTGTGAAAACCATTATCGCTGCCCAAACCGCTGAAAAACACTGCAAAAAGGGAAATCTCACTGGGTTAAAATGACTTCAGAATGCAAATTTTGATTTCAGTTTTGGAGTTTGGATTTATTTATGTTAGGTATACAATATTTTCAATTGGAATCAAACGACCGGATTGTTTATGCAAGCAAAATTAACTGCAATATTAATATGGCAGCTTAAATTAAAAATGGCTGATGTTTTATTTTATTTATAGATTTATTGTTTTGAAGAAGAACAAAAATACATAAATTGTAATTCATTAGATTTTTTATTTGATTTTATTCATTATCATTTGACAAAAAGACAATAAAATAAAATAGTCAAAATTGTCCAAAGTCAACATTCCAAATGAATAATGTTGTTACAGTGGCAGAACAAATGTGTATCTCTGTAACACGATAAACATATAAATTGAAACTGACTGTAAAATAATTCCATATCCAAATTCCTTCACCAAAAACCTTCTGTAAAAATCCTGAATTACACATTTTAAAAAAAAAAAGAAGAAACCAGAATTCCAAGTCATTTTAACCCTTTGTTCGTGCCCTTTTTGCCGTGCTCTCCATGCATTCCTGTAGCTGTCGGAGCCTTTTGGATGTTGCATGTCCGTTGATGGTCAGTATTCCCCTCCCTTCAGGTTGCGTTGTACAGGAGCTGGTGGAGTGGCATACTGTAGGTGTGTGTGTGTGTGTGTGTACGCGCTTGTATAGACTCTGCTTGTACTTGACTCCTCTCGTTTTCACATCCTGCCTCTGGTTTTCCGTGCTCGTTCACAGGACGTGTTGAGATATTATGCAAATTTGTGCTGTAAAAAAATCAGCTGTTTCCCCCATGAGTCTAAAGAATAAATATGAAGAGAATATATTGAAACTGGTGTGGAAATCAGTTTTGTATCTGCTTGTAGGGGTTGTCAAAGTATAAAAAAACAGATACTAGACGAGTAAACGCCCTTGGACCACTATGTAACCTACCTTGACAACTGAGGGATTACACAGACCACATGGTAATATAAAAGAAACTACTATTATTTAAAAGTACACTATGTAACTCTTTGGTTGTCATTAAACAACTCTACCTTACATTTATTAACCATTACAAGTGGTTTTATATCTCAGAAACACCTAGAAAAACAGGCATTTTGACATGTAACTTGGTCTGGTTTGTTCTCCATGAAGATGGAAAGGTTTAATGACATAAAGTGAAACATTCCAGACAAAGCAATAACATCTCCATGTAGAAAAGCAATGGACCTTTCAGCAGAAAAGCTGCACAATGCACCTTTAATGTTAAAAATTACATTCTAATTGTCATTGTGATAATGGAATCGGTTTTGAGTACCAAGTATATTCCTTAGTATCAAAATTTAGTTCAAAATGTTAGTATCATGATAACCCTGGTATGAAGATTTCACATAGGGCTGCTAAACTGGGCAGTACATGGAGCACTAAAGGGGAGAGTGAGGAACAGTATGATTAGTCTAACACAGGGCTTTCCAACTTGTAGCTCAGAAACTACCACTAGCTCTCCACCCTGTTCCAAGTAACTTGCCAAGAGATTTTGGAATTATACCATTGTGCTGAATAACAAAAATGTGGTTAATTACATCCCTATTACCATTATAAATGTATCATTTTGAAGCTCACCGGAGGAAAAAGGTTGGAGACCCCTGGTGTAACAGGTATCCACACTTCAAACTTGTCACTTGTGATGTCATGTAGCACTTGAAATTACAGTGGCCACTCGGGGCAGAACACTAGATTGGAAGACTTTTACAACTTTTAAATCAACACACACTTTAGTGACAAAATAGGTGTATGAGATAGTGCCATGCAGTTGTTTCCTTATAGTTCTCACATCTGTCTACTATTTTTATTTTATTTTATTTTTTTTTTGAAAATGCAACATGACAGAGGGATAAAATGGCTGAGACAGTGTCATGCAGTTGGTTTCCCATGATTCTTGGTAACAATGTTTCTGATTGGACAAAAAGAGGTGACCCTGTCTGTAGTTTGCTAATCTAAAATGCATGGATTATATTTTACAGTCTATTTTTTATTATTTGGCATTTTTTATCACACAGGCCATGATGTAAAGAACTTTCATCTTGCAAAGACTGCATTAAAATCAAGTACAGGCTCTTTACTACAGCGTATAATTCCAGACAGATTTAAAATACTGATAATACTACACATGTTTAAAGCTGTACTATGTAACTTTTCTTGAGGAGAGTATACACCACCTGCTTGTCTCCATGTAGATGTTATATTATTTTGTCTACAGTGCTCCATAGTATAGCATTAAACTTCAGATCTGTGGCGAAGAGAGATTATCACATCGAGAATTCATTTTTGAGCAAAAAGTTTGATTTTTTTTGCACCGTAGTTGATTTATCGCACCATCATGCAAGATCCTCAGATAGAATATTGAAGATTTACATTGTAAATACCAGGTCAATAAGTCATTGAAAAAGACTTCACAATATTGTACTAGGGAATGAAATGAAAGAAACAATAATAAAGAAAACAGCCACAGTGGACATGCTGTGGTGTGGGAACAAAGCCACTAGA